CCCTCCCGCCCTCTCTCCCTCCCTCCCCAGAAATTAGAATACCTGAAAGTTTATTTTTACAGGGTCATACTCTTTTGAATCTAGGTTGTGGCTTCTGAATCAGGGTTAGAGTTAAAAAAAACCCATGAGTAATAAATTGCTGTTTCTATGAATATTTATGTATTTTAATTAAAAAAAAATTAAGTGGGTACTAGTATTTTTATGGAATGCCACTAGCTAATTATAATGTTCATCTGTGGGAGGAATTAGTAAGTCAAACTAGTGGTGAAAATTAACATTACCCATTCAAGATTAAAGCACTCCCTCATATTATATTGTATGTGCAAGAAAAAAAATGCAATATATCCAAGGGGCACTATCTGCTGACACGTTTGGGGTGCCAAATGCTTTCATGGATTCATGGATTTCATGGTATTGCTACAAATTAGTTCCAGATCCATTTTTGAATAGTGAATTTTGGGTCTGATTCTTTTTCTTCTGGAAGTATTAGTCTGGAATTATTTTTCTAGAAACTGTCTTGAATATATCCTCAGTGGAACAAGAGAGCAAGACACACCATTAGGTACTGATCATTGTATCACACAATGTTGTATCAAAGTGAAAAATTTCTCTATCATTTTTTTTCCCATTTATTTCAATGCATTTGTATCCTGATATTTAGGGGGGTTTTATTTATTTTTTATTATATTTTTTATTTCTATAACTATAGAAATCAGGCAGTGTGACTAAAGAAAAGCTGAAAGTCACTGTTCAGTAATTTGGGGTTTTTTCTCCCTTCAGGCTGATAATGTTCTATGTCACACAAAGCGAGAATCTACTTGTATCTACTTGTAGAAGGAGCTTGTATCCATTTACAGCTAAAATGTGCAAGGAGGGAAGCTACCACTGGGATCTTAAACACCAGCAGATTACCAGGGAGCAGCCTGCACTACAGGATATTCTGCCAGGAGCTGGGAATTCACCACAGCTCAGGCAAAAGTTGGTTATTATCAAGGCTACCCACAGCTGTAGGGTTTGCTAGTTCTCATTTTATCCAAGCTGGTCTGGGCATCTGTGGGCAGCTCCTAAGCCTCCTCTGAATATTTACTTGCATTATTTCAGTTTTCTCAGCTTATAGATGAGAACAAGAGCTGGTTTTAAACAAAGCCTTAATTTACACAACTTTTCACATCACATCAACATGCACATCTTCTGTGCTGCCAGGAATTCTGCAGATTTTGAATAAGGTTTTATTGAGCCCAGTGACTGTTGTTTATCCGAGGGGTGCCTCTACAGCAGATGGCATGTGCCATTACTGTACCTTGTTTTCAACTCTCCTTGCATTTTCAGGTCTTTTATGCAGAATTCTGTGGCTGAAAAGCAAAGCTATCTAAAGAGATGACTAAAAGAAGAAAACAAGTCTATTTTTTTGTGACAGTGAGATGCTCTAATTCAAAGCACTTACACATTCATGTTACAAAAAAAAAAAATTATTATGACAAAAGAATTTGAATTATATACACTGCAAAGAAAATTAGTTTAGAGTGCATTTATTTTGAAATAAACAAGAATATTATATGTATATCTTCATATTTATATTAAATAATATTATTAAACATGAAGAAAAAATAGTCTTAAAAACTAATCTGACACTTTCACATTCTATTTTATATTAAGTAACCATAGATAGGAAATATATAGAAAAATGCTAAAATTGCCTCAAGCCAGCCATAAAAGCAAAGTGCATTATTGCCTGGGGCAGTGGAGGATCAAAATGATGATGGTATTGCTGCTTCCTCTGAGGATCACTCTGAGTGCGCAGTCATGAATGAAAAGGAAGGATGGGAACGCCTTCAGTGACCCCCAATGTTTTCTTCTCTTTGTCCTTCATCACTGAAGTAGCAAAGTGGGTTTTGCACATGCTGACAAGAAGCAGTGAGCCGGTTTTGCGTACCGAGACGATACATTGAATACAGTTGATTCCCCAAATGATCACACATATTTTCTGCTGTGTCAATTCAAGAACCTTCATCTCAATTTATCTGATTTATTTCTTGCTGTCAGTAGTTTAAGGACACCAAGGTGGAAATTTTGAATTTATTTATTGTGAAATATTAACTGAAATATCATCCTTTGATAGTTTTCTGAACTGGCTTGGGTTTTGGGTTTTTTTTTTTTTTCAGATAAAAGCCACACTTATCACATATTTTTTCTACAATTCCCAGTGTGGAATTTCTTTAAAAAAAGCTTCTTTCTAATTTTGTTTTGATTTTTCTACCAGAGATATATCTTACTATAAATTAAGCATTTCTAAACTTAGGTGTACTGTTACACAGATGCCATACATCTATTCACATGACATATAGGATGGCAATTGAGCAACGTGTGCACTGAATAAAATTTCGAAGAGTTTTCTTTCATGATTTGTAGTAGTAAAATATTTAAAAACATTGTTTTAGTTCTTTTTTGATTGTCTGACTACCAAATATTTCTGCTTCTGATGATAATTTATTGACATTATTTGAAGTGTGTGTGTGTATTCAGCTGGAATTATTTCAAGGCACAGTCTTTTCCTAAACAGACACAGATTTATCCAATGTCCAGTAAACCTTTTCAAAAAGGTTATAAAAAATATGTGTTCTTTTTTGTGTGGATTTAATTCCTACTACCTCACAATAATGTTAATAGGGAGTAAGGAAAAATGCTGTTGCTGAATAGCAAACAAGTATTATTCAGATAATATTACTTAGTGTTGTTCTGTACTGTGCATGCATTCATGTTTTGTTTTGTTTTTTTGTTTGACACAAACACAAGCTATTTATCTAGTTTTCAGATATAGCATTCCAGAGTAGCAAATCAGACAGCTATAATTTCTACTCAGTGCCACTTCATATAAAAGTGCACTATTCACAAGAAACACATGAATTTGTACTCTATCAGAAACATACCAGTGTATGGCAATAAAATTTATAATAAATACTACAAAGTGTGTGTTACATGAATTTTAACATTTTGACTTTTCTTTGACACAGTGCTTGTAAGACATCTTAAAATCTGTACTATTTTTTAAAGGATAAATGCATAAACATAATAATAAGACTTAGAGAATCTGAACATTATAGTTCATACAGTACTTTTCCTAGGTAAATACCTATCATTCACATTATAACTGTAACAGCTTTACTCTTGGTAAAATAATAGCCTCTAAGAGTTTAATTTGTCCATTCAACTCATATGTAATTGTTCTGCTACTTAATGTAGTCTCATTTTCAGTTTAGCACAAACTTGTAACAGTGCTCCTCTGAAAGTAAATTCACAGTCTAAGCTCATGCAGGCAGTTTCTCTTCACTGCCAAACATCTTCCTGCCCAGGTCTAAGACTTATTTTCGTTTCCTTTTAAATGATAAATTTATCTCAAAATAATCAAAAATAATATTCAAAAGGTATTCTTACAAAAGAAGGGTTCTCCCACTCACATGGCATAGTTAGTTCATCAATTAAATAAAATACATACTGAAAAGCGGTTTTAAGAGTTGATGATCACTACACTAAGTGGAAAAGAAGTCCTGTGTTTTCTACTGCAGCTGGAAGATTCACCTTTCACCTGGGTTAGTTTGTTCTTCATTAAGAATTCATGGGAATAAATAATTCTAGCCAGTGCAGATAATCCTGTTTTCTTCCTTTATCTCAGCATATCTCGTCTCCGAAATTGCTTCCATAGATCTCTGAGATGCTCACTGGTTACAGTCATCACACAAGAGTAATACTCCTTCCAACCATACTTTGGAGTCTCCTGTGAAAAGTGAAAAAACATACAATTGGAAAAAAGATACCATTCACTAAAGTCATTAATTCTACCTTAAATTTTATTCAGACTCATACATACTAGATAGATGTTTTAATATTAAAATAATGAGAGTTCAAATTTAGTTCTGTAAAATAAGAGTTATAAATCCATACATGTTAAGTATTCAAAAGACATCCTCACCTCACAACACACAGTTAGCATTCAACAAATGGCCTAATTATATTAAAAGATGCAAGAAGGCTTTTCCTCTTTATTCAGGCATGTCCAGCTCCCTCTCTAGTTTCATTCCTTGATTCTTTGTATTGACACTGTACTAAAAAGTTCACCAATGACACCAAATAAAAAGCATAGAAAATTACTGTTGTTCATTAAACTGAGGCACCAGCAAAAGCCAAATACCATAAGGGCAGATGACATGAAAGCTTCTTTATATTAGATTACCTTAATCCTAAATTGTAGTTCAGCAACATGAATAATTGTCCACTGAATGGAGAGGAAAACTGGCCAAGGGCTGGCCTGGGAGATCCACTGCTCTGTGCTCCATGCTCTCTGTCATTATCACTGGATCTCATAATTTCTTCCACTGTTCCTAACTCCGCAAGTCTATTCTCATATTAAGTGTAAAAAACAGATGTGGAGATACTAAGAATTAGAGCAAATGGGGAAAGAAACCACTTTCCTCCTAGTTTATATACTGAGCTTACACCACATGGTGTGGAATATCCCTTGGGCCAGTTGGGGTCAGTTGTGCTGGCTGTGTCCCCTCCCAACTCCTTGGGCACATCCAACCCCCTTGCAGTTGGGGTGGGCAGAAAAGTCCTTGACTCTTTGTAAGTGCTGCTCATAGCAACCAGTATATCAGTGTATCATCAATAGTATTTCCATCCTGTATTTAACACACAGCTCTGTAGCAGCTACCAGGAAGAAAATTAACTCAGCTAACTCAGGACACATGGTGAGACTGTCCAATACCTTGTTTTGGTTGAACTGAGTCAAAATGTTAAAGAAATTGCCACAGTGCAGTGCATTAAAATCCACCATTAGACACTGAAGGCTACATCTATTTATTCTTATCCCTCACTTTTTAAATTAAATAACATAGACGTTTATAAAGAAGTTGTAGATATTCAGAACACAATTTAATCCACAGTAGTATATTATGCAGACATATTTGAAATATTAGAAACCATACTTAGATGAATGCATGATTTAGCTGATATTTATAGTCAATCTCATGAAAAATTGCATAGCTTGCAAATTGAAGTGCATTTAACAAAAGCATATTCAGTTTATTAACCTATGCTTTAAGATATGCGCTTACTTTTTATTTTATGAAACAACTCCAGAGAAATGTTCATAAAAGTCATTAAAAGAAATTCTGAAATACACTATTCATCTACTTATTTCTAAATTGTGCACTATTGTTGTATCTACTCTCAGTGTACCAAATCCACAACAAGGAACAACTTGTCCACACATTCTGCAATGCTTTCATGTTTCACTGGAACATTCTCCTCTCACTGTAACCAGGTATGTTTTTAAGATTCTTGTCAGGTTTAGGATCTTGCAGAAACTTGCAAAAAACAGAACTTGCCCAAGTTCTGCAATTTCCAATTACTTTTGTAAGATGGTGTGTCTAATCACATGCTTCTCACCTCTGTGCTTTAGAGAAGAGGTAAGCAAAAGTCTTCTAACAGTAAGCAACAGTCTCTTTTGTTTTTCTTTAAAGCTGTCTTTTAACTAGATGTATTCAATTGCGGTGTTCTAATAAACTATAGAAATTAAAAGCTTTAAAAAGATTAGCTAAATGAAAAATTTAATCTCACTTGACAGAATAAAGCGTTTACAGAAGACAGCAATTTACAGTTGAAATAGCTGGAAATGAAGTTCTGAATCTATGCTTCAGTTTTTCATGTCTTTTTAAAAATAAATTTCCTTCCTCACTCAGTCTCAAGGTACTATTTTTAGCTATTAACCATTACCTCATGAAAGCTTTTAAGCAGAAATTTTGAAAACCCTCAATATTCAGAACATATAGAAATCAGGTATTTTAATAAAAAAAAAAATCTTGAGATTCTCAGAAAATTACTAGTACAAAGTTACTAGAAATTATTTTCTAGATTTCCATTGATGTAATAATTACTTCCAATACTTCTTCAGTAATCAATAATATCACAGTTATGGCCTAAATATCTATTACTGTTACTGAGCACATGACTAGTTTAGCAAACAGTATTTTAGATGGACTTGAATCCCTTCGTAAGTCTGTCTCTAGCATCCCTTTTTGGAAATTAACTTTGAAAGGGCTTAGTTAGAAATTTCCTAGATAATCCTTTCACAAGACATTCAAAAGCAGGGCTCTTCTCTGTGCTCTGTCAGGCAGTTCTCCACAAACATGTTTCTTCACTTCTCCCTGCAGTGTATGCAAAGAAGTACCTGCCAATGCCAAGTCAGGCTGGGTGCCCTGCAAGGACCACACACAGCTGTTCCCCTAGGAGAAATCTGCATTATTTATTGTAAGGGTACAACATTCTTTACACTGTGGAGTAAAGGCATTAGTGCATTTTAGAGACATGTGATGTACAGCACAATGTGCTGTTTATTGCTTTTCAGAATGCAGATTCAAAGCAGGGTATAATCTATGGCAAGCATGCCAAGTATCTTAATCTCCTTCACCAGACTTCTACATTTACCATCGAAAAGCACAATACTTCAAAGCACAAGGAACTGTACATACATATTTGGAAAAAAGTAAAATTAATAGTAGTTGTACTGAACCTAACTCTGGGATATAGTTGCAGCTGATTTTTGTATTTCATGTACATTTATGTGCTTCTTTGGACATCAGAATGAAATTTAATTACCTATTGGAACTGTTCAATGTAAAATCCCCAATAATTCCATTTTTATTATCTTTTCAATTTTTAAACTAAATGGAAAATAGTGATTTTTACAATGATGTACATCCACTTTCACTGCACAATGTGTGGCAAAGACAGAACTATCTTTGTTCAACTCCACAATACTTTTGCCAAATCACTTCACATACCTTGGCTAAAGTTTTCATTTCCATTAGTAGAAGTTTATGATAAATCTGAAGAAATATTATGAGTTATGCAATGTTTTGGACAAAAAGGAACTCTGAACAGCCAACAACTGGTTATGTCACTGTAACACCTGGGCTTGTTCTCAGAGGTCTTTTCTGACCTTAACAATTCTGTGACTGACTCCTGGTAAGAGACAAGAAGTAGTTGCTCAGGTGAAGAGCAGGAGCAAACTAATGTGTCAGCAGGGAAGAGAGAATTTTATATATACAAGGCTTACATTGTACTCTTCAGTGCAACAGGTATTTGATTCAGACCTACTCAAGCAAGCTTAGGTACAAGAATATTTGTTATATCAGAGCTCCAGGTGGGAAGAAGAGCAGGGTAAATAACTAGTGGCCTCTATATTAACTCAGTGAAGTGCCTGTAGCCAAGCCCATGCCCTGAAAAATAACATGGTTTCTTCTGATTCCAAATGGGTAGTGCAGATGTACTATAATTCAAATTTTTTTTGAGAATGACTTTATACAGAATGAACAACATCTCTCTTCATAAATCTCCATGGTACATTTTTCCCAGTTTACATCATCTCAACATACGAATTAATTAATTTAATGCCTGAATTTAGACCTGACAAGATGTTGATGTATGTATACTTGATGCTTTTACCACAGTCTCTCTTTCTGTCACCAAGATAATTTTATTAGGTTTGTTGATTAGATACTGGATTCTTTTGTGTCACTGCGTTTTCTTCCACTTGGTCACATACCCTTCACTGAAATTATTAGGGAAGCATCATGACTGTGCACCATCTTACCAGTTTCCTGTAAGAGCTGTTTCATGTTTTGAAAAGTTTACAGTTTAAATAATACTTAACATGAAACTGCAATATGGGTTTTGACAAGAAGACGAAGTACTGCTAATAACTATTTTTAAAAATACATGAGAAAAGAAGAAAGGCAGCTTTGAAAGCCAAAAGTTTCAAAGATATAAAGATACATAAGATTAAAATAAAGCCATGACTTCCTTTCATGCGACTAGTAACTTGGATTACTAAAATATTGTTTAAACTACTTTATTAGTCATTTACTCTTCCCATTAGTAGAGAAATGGTGGAGAAACCAGATGCTTTGTTAAGATCAAATTTCCTCTTCTGTCCCTCACATATTAGTACAATGCTTCAGTATTAGGGTATAGTATTGAACAAAAAAATCTCAGATTAATATTGTACCTCAGAATTAAAAACAGCAGGAGAATGACAGTCAAACCATCCTGGCTCAGGAGCATGAGATGTGCTGGACTCCTCTGAGGGTCACTCAGAGCAGACCACTGGCCATGGGGCCTTGCTTGTCATGGTGTACATCTCTTTGCTCCTTCCCTTGGTAAAAATCTGGGAGCCAACAGCCATCATTGCAACTCCTGCAAAGTCTTTACATGGAAACAGGAACAAATCCTTCAACAGCAAAGGAACAAACTCCTCCTTTATGTGAAGAAGAGAAATGTCTACTAACGCAGTGTTGGTGTCCCCTGTGTGACAAACAGTTTCACAAGTTGGCTACAGAACCTGCACACCTCGGTTTTCACACTGAAATCCACAGTACAACTGAACTGTACCAGTGGACGTTCATGTAGCAGACACGTGGAAATGGCCAATGGTGGTTATGAGTGGACACAATGCTGCATTAAATTGCTGGTACATCATTAACTGAGCCAAAAATACATGATTTCTTTTAAGAATGTAGCAGTATAAATCAAAGCAGAATCAAGTCACTAAAAGTCAGAAAATCTGCCTCTACAATCTTCTGATAAATTCTTTATAGGTACCTGAGAAATTACTTAAAAAGAGATAATAGGACAGACATAAAACAGCAACAGAAACTATGAAAAAATACTTTTCGTAAGTACAGTAAGTACAAAATCACAGCTGGCTCACAGAACAGTGACAGTGTAAGTCAGTCATTACCAACTCCAGGATAAAATTCTATTGCTTCAGTCAAAAACATGATGTGATGCCTCAAGCTACTACATTGCTTGCAGTCATATAACCTATTGCTGAGTTTTGGAACAGGAAACAAAGCAGTGACAGTTCAACATTCAGCCATTCCTGCAGGCATGCCAGCACACTCAGACTGGTGGCTAACACATACCGTCATTTATCTGCTATAGAGCTCCTTCCTCACGCAGGATTTGAAAGTAGTATACCTCTGTATAGGTTTGTAGCCCTGTGGAGCAGAAGATGGAGAAGTGTGCAGATGCAGACAACACGTGAAGGCAGCCAGGGGTAAGCATAAGACAACAGTATCATGAAAATACAAAAAATGGCTTTAATTGACAAATAGCTAGGAGATACAGTACAGCATGTGTTATGCAAAATGTTTATCATTTAGTCATTAAGTTCCAAGTCTTCCAGTTTAAAAATGGAATTTTTAAAGGAAAAGGAATATTTTTATATATTTTTAGATTTGAAAAAGAAAGGGAAATAACTAACGAAACAGAAAGCAAAACATTTTTAATTAGTTTATGGCAATACTCTGACTGACCACTTGATGGCAGCTTAACATATGAGTTTGCTTCGAGCTACTAAAACAAAAACAAGGTTTTGTGCTACAAAACTGCAGGAAAAGAGAAATTTCATTTGCTAAAGTCTTTAGGACATTTACATTTCCAAAAATGTTTCAGAACAGCATTTTCATTTGACTTGTGTGACTCTTTGCTCTTAAACAGGTTCACTTGAGTCTGGCTATAAAACCACAAAATGCCCTTTTCAAAATACATGGTCCCAGTACCAAATCCTCTAACAGCCTCAAGATTCCAGGCAAACATAATTAGTGAAACAATTAAAAAGGTAGAATTGCTAAGTACAAGATGTTAAATGTAAAATCATACTTCAAATCACAGGCTGATTTGCAACTGTTATTTTGGGATGTTTTTAAAGAGATAATCAGACGCTATGTTAATTGGCAGATATTAATTGGGGGATACTTAACAATAAAATCAGGCATTTATACTTCATAAAGGGGTTCAGATTTCTCATGGCCAAGATTTCTATGTTGCTACAAAATTCTGAATAAGCTGAAGCCTTTACATACTTGTATCTATATGATGAAACTGACTGAATTTTCATATGGATCCAAAACAGTTATTGATAAAGAATAGGTTAGTAATTTGTTAGTTTTGATTTAGCACAAGACAACATTTACAATCCTCCACATTGTAGGAGCAAGAAGGTGAAGTCTTACTTGTTTTAGACACATTAAATACTCTGCAACTTTTCACATACAAACAATAGGAAGCAATTCATGACACTTTCCATCAGTTTGTTCTGGGAATAAGGTTCTTAGGCATTTTCCACTTTACATTCTAAATCAAGATTGAAGTGGGTGGGGAGTGTTTTTTAAGGCAAAATTTTTGCAGAATTTTTACTATTATCCACTCTTGGAAAAAATGGTTTGTGTGACACTTATGAAACTTACTGGAAATTGTAGTTCCTCAATTTACTACTATAATTGTAATACTCCTGATTAGTGAAGAGAATGCATTTAAATGAATTACAGGACCAAATCACAATTGTCTCTTATATAGAGATGTCTCCTATATGGAGATGTCCAGTATTTAAGTCAACTTAGAGTTAGACTTCATGAAAGACTGTGTTATTCTTCTGAATATTGTTTACAGTCCACTGGAATATTTCATAGTAGTCCAGGCAAAAGCAAGATACATATGTAAGACTGAATAGTGCTGGATGATACAGATTCTTAAAATTATATATGATTTCTGTCATGCATTTTGTGAAATAGAACATGTAATAAATACAAGAATTACTTAGTAAGCAGACTGTTTGCTGGTTAAATTAACATACACTGCACATTTACAATTAGTAAACAATTAAAACATATAGCTGAACAGCTTGAAACAATTGTGAAACAATCATCATTACCACACCATAATAAAAGGAATTGAGGACCAACAAGTAAATAATTTTGTTACAAATACAGTGTTTGTTATCCACATTTTATGTTTGATCATAATATTACAGAAATAACAAGTAAACTATTAGACTCAACACCACTTCACAGAAAGTTCTAAAATTCCATTTAGGAAGCTAACTAAAATTAACTAAAATTACAGAAAACATACTGAAATGTGACTTTTGGAACTATAATACAGTTTAAGGTTTATGTTTCAGCAATAAAGCAGTAAGATTGGTAGTTAGAACACCATTTTACATTTAGTTGAAAATGTTAACACCTGTCATGAAGGAAAAAAAAATGACTGCAAGTAATTTCCTGCCATCTAGCTTATTATAATTGAATATTAGATGCAGGGTTTAATTATTAAAATCAGCCCTGAACTAGAACACAGCATTGTTCAGCACCACTTCACTAATTTTTATTTGAAAATTAAAACTACCTTCTGCTGCAACTCTTTCCAGCTGTCATTATAAACACTTGTTTTTTATATGTTTTACAAGAGTTGACCTTTAAACTTCTTGAGCTTGAGAGAGACAAATTCTCTTTTCTCTGCACACAGTATAGACATAATTGCTCTTGTTTGTAAAATTCCTAATGCTAATCTATTAATCACACAATACAGAAGAAATGACAGTATACAGGGGATTTCTCATCTCCTGTTTGGTTTGCACATTGTAAAGGTACATCACATCCTCTAAGAATTACTTTCTAACAAAAAAAAAAAATCAAGAATTTAAGAAGGATTTTATCTCACAGATTGTTTCAGTATTTCTATAAAATGTATGTCTTAAATGTATGTCATAAAATGTATGTCATAAAATGTATTTCTTTAAACATATGCACTGGTGCTACAGATGCTAAAGTGGAGGTAAGTAGCAAAGTCAACTAAAATAACTAAAAATTAGAATACTTACCCTAAACCCTCGATTGAGTCTGTCTTTCATAATGCCGATAAATTCTTTATAACTCAACTGGTCATCTCTGTCTACATCAAAAATCTTGAACACTGTGTTCACCAAATGTGGTGAGAGCTTCACACCTGTAGCTACGTACACAGCACGCTTGAATTCATCTGCATAAGGACAACAACAGAAAAAAAAATAAAAAAGGTGAATTTAAGGGTACTTTGTGAACAGCATATTATGAAATACAAGTAAACTTTTAACTTGAGTTTTCACATTTAAATACTCAAAAATATGAAAAAGTGAAAATTAGGTCTGAATTTTACAGTTCTAAACCAAGTAGTTCTTAACTGATAAAAAATGACACTGCCTAATTGGTGCCAATTATTTTACAAAAAAAGGTAACAATCTACAGATTAGTAGAATGTTATATAACATACATTCTATATGTTATATATAGTACAGAATGTTACTATACTATGAGCAATAACAAAATTAGAAAATCATATTATAATTAAACCTATGTTACATATATGGCATTTACTTATTTGACATAAAACAGAACCCAAAGAGCACAGAGAAAATGATACAATCCCTTGGTAAGGCCACATGAGGTAGGACCATGCTGGTGTTACGTGGTCAGAGCCATGAAGAGGCTACTTGAGGAGAGAGCACACAAGTCTGATCACTTTGCATATTCATCTTGTGTTCCCTGAGCATCACAACTGGAATAGGTTTTATTACAGATTTTAGTAGGTACATACATGCCCAGTTCTTTCAGTACCCACTGACTGATTTGTTAAAAACCTATCTGATCTCTCTTTGGACCTTCTGGCACTGTTTCCTTCTACAGCCTTTGTAGAAGGCCAAGTTTCAGATGCTCACTGTGTAAAGAAACGCTTTTGTTTGCCTTAATCTAATCTCTCACCAGTGTCATCAACTGCCTCTTAACTCCTGTATTGTAGGATTTGATGGACAACTATTCTGCATTCAGCTTGTACACCACTTATATGACTTTGCACAATATCTCTTATGAGATGACCAAGCCTTTTCCTCTCAAAGCTGGAGTCGTAGCATCTTTAGCCTTTTACTGGAAGCATTAAAACTAGAAAATAGGAAATACAAAACATTTTTGTCAACAGTTCTACATGGATATCAATGCATTTTTATAAAAATACAGATACTTACCTTGACCTATGGAACGACTTGCAAAATTATACATTTGCATTGCAATTGTAAAGTCTTCTAGATTGTTCAAAAATTGAAAAAATGATCTAAATTCTTCAAATGTGATACCCTAAAAACCAGAAAAACAATAAGCACTGTAAGAATTATTAGTAGTAATAGCAACTGAATAAACAAACCTTGCAATTATATATATCTACTTTATTTAAGAACAGATACCACACCCATTTAAAAAAGGGCTTTGTAGTAAAAGTCAATTAAGTAGAGAATTGGTGTTTCTTGAGGAATGCAGTTTGCTTTCCCCTCTGTGACTACAACAAGACAGCAATTCACACCAGAGCACTCAAAAACTGTTCCATTGCTGAGGGCAATTTTTAAGAATTCCAGGATTATTACAATATGGTAGTCAATACTAACAATAAAAAGTCTAGGTTTGGATGAACATTGGACTATGTTTACTACTGAAAACCTGCAAACCACTATCATACATATATGAGTGTATGTGCTCATATAAATACATTGAATGATTCATAAATGTATGTTATGATCTACCTTAAGGCTGTACTTCAGGGTGAAATCTTTACATATCCAGATTTAGATACCCAAGCCTCTTCAGCTGAGGGTTTGCAAGTACTGCAAGGTTTGTCCAGCTTTTTAAAAAATCAATTGCATGACCAGACTTTAGAATATCTCCTGTGAAAGTTTCACTGATAGTGTTCTTGTTAAAAGAGTTTATCTTCATTACTTGTAATATTTGTTCTGCTCTTCTTCAATTTAGATTGAGATCCGAAGATTTGATAAACTATCTCTAAATCAGTTCTGAAAGAGACCTGAAAATGAGACTTTGAACTAAGCCAGAATTCCCATTGGTCTCAGCCATTCTGAACATGGAATGGCATTCTTTGTCAAACCTTGATCTCCCTGGACTCCTTTAACTATAACTCCTGCCTATTTTTCTATTTGCTTTTATTCTATTAACCTATTTAAGTACTTGTGTCTGAAAATATATTTGAAGGCAATAGTAAGACTGTGAGCCTTTCTGTTCAAACTAAAACATCGACCTATGTCTCTCCTGAAACATATACATAGTCTTTACAGTATGGTGGAACACAGAAAACATGCAAATGTTGGTTTGTGCCCAAGGAGAACATGGCAGAGGTTGGATGCTAACCCATATGAAACAATAAGGACTGTGGAAAATATGGAAAGCAGCATAATATTGTTGTAACAGAGGAATTTAATAGGTCTCCACACACTTGAGATGTAAACCCCTGCTTAACCACTAGCTAAGATTTATAAATTCTTTGGTGATCTTGGCCTGTCCCATCATGACTTGCTTTCCTCAACAAGCAGATCCTTCGCAATTGGGAGGAAACCCTCATTTACACAAGAAGAACCACCACCTTATGTAAATTTTTATCTTAAAATCTTGATTTAGAATTATCAATACTATCTTTTTGTTTCATTGCATTTGACACTATTAGTTTATGCGTCCAAGTTTAGTTCTTGCACTGTTTAGACTGAAAACTCTGTGGGACTGGAATAACTCTGCCATGCATTTTTGAAATTCCTAGACCAGTCAAATGTCATTTCTCAGCCAGAAGCCTGAGGTACTATGGCAAATCAGCAATTGTAGTGAACATCCACCAAAGTCTTAAGCTGAAATTTTAAGCTGACAAATCCTTTAATGTGCACTGATTTGTCTGTAAAAATTCTGGATGCACAAAACAAATGTATGAGGTCAGGCTACTGTAAAAATCTTATTTGTTTGCATGACTTTTGCTTTTCCTAATAAACTGTCTCTTCCTCATCCCTCAGGTTTCCTGGTTTTTACTCTCCCAATTATCTCCCTGATTCTGCTGGTGGGGGAGTGAGCAAATGGCTAGGTAGGACTTGGTCAATGGCTGGGGTTAAATCATGACAAAAAAAGGAAGCTAATTATTTTATTTGCATGGACAGATTATATTTTACTACAACAAAGAAAACTCAGATTAATTAACTATTTAATGCTGCTAAAAATGCACAGGCTTTCTTCAGGAGCTGATATCTGTAGTAATTCATGATGCCAGCTTACATGAATCACTGCTTGGCATCTAAGTACTGGCCTATTACTTTACATTCTCGACTAATTTTTCCTCATAATGGAACCCTCTGGTTGCTATTAGTATTGCAGCATATCACCATCATGAAATAGAGAGCAAACTTTATAATTTTCAAATCATAATGTTATGACAAGAGTCAAAAAATGTGACAACATTTGAACAACGTGAACAACACCTCCATGGCAATAAGAGGCAAAGTCCTATTTTTAAAAATCTGTGAGAGATGTAGTGACAGCACATTTACCAAGCCAATGCTACAAAGTTGTGAAATACAGCAATGTCTTGTTTCACTTAATGGAGGTATAGCCTATGACATACAGATACATGGCACCCACCCAGTGCCACGACATCCTCGAACACAGCAAAAAAGCAAATATGTAACTGAGTGACAAAGCTTTCAACATGGAAGTTTTCCTTAAGTGATGGTTCCACCAGAGACCAAGAAGAGGAAACTACAGTGGAATACTTGGATTGGAAGACTTAGAGATGAACTTCAAAGACTAATACCTTGTGTTCAAAAGAAAGTGTCTGTATATTTACTTAACTGCACCTTTGACATTCAAAGTATTTCTCTACAACTGTCATTATTTTTCAGTTTCCCAAGTGATACTTACATTATTGTTTCTATACAAGACCCAAAGAGATAGGTGTTGTTTTTTTTTTTAGATTTCCAGCTGGAACCATGCAGTTATAGCAGTTGTGTTGCACAGTCTTGGCTCTGAATATTGAAAGCTGCACAAACCTTTTACAGCTGTTTGATCTGAGCACCTCAGTGCCTAGAACAGGCTTGGAAAGGGTGACTGAGCAGGAACTCCGATCCCAATCTTACCACTTCATCTGACACCTAATCTGGTTGAAAGACACAGCCCTGCTTTCCCAGTTATATTTAACACTCAGTGGTCCTAACTGCTGTACAACCACAGGAAGAATCATATAATCCAGATTGCTGGAATTGTTGATTTTTGGAGTGTTATTTCTATCAGGTCAGTTGACTGATCTTATTTACTGTGAAGACTGAAATTACCATGTCATTTCTCAAATAAAAACAAAACCCAAACAAACTGTTTAAACTGATTTATTACTTTTCTTTGTGAGCTCTGCTGTCAATGCTATTAAAGGATATAACTATTGAAAGAGTTAGCTTTCTAGGGCAGATTAATCTGATCTTCTCTAAACACAAACAGAAGAAGCATATCCAAAACATCCCTTGTTTGAAGGGCTACTTTTCATGTTATCCTATAGATTATCACTGATGCATAGTTGCTACTGAATTTCTTCCAGATACACTTCTGACAACATATTTGTTCTTAAACAAATTAAGGAGTATCCACCTCTTAAACTTTACTGTTTATATTATCATTTCTGTCTGTGCAGTCATTAAAAAACCCACACACCCAAGAATACTTAGAAGCTATCCACTAATAGGACTATAAAACAAAGAGATAAAATGTGATGCTACTAGGGAGGGAGGGAGGGNAAGGAAGGAAGGAAGGAAGGAAGGAAGGAAGGAAGGAAGGAAGGAAGGAAGGAAGGAAGGAAGGAAGGAAGGAAGGATTTTTTTAGTAAGTCTTTGCTAGAAAATTTTTGGTTTTGATGTCATATGGTTTTTGCAATTTAACCTGCTCTATCTATCTGTTACATTCTATCTAAACTTCAGCAATACAACTAGCTAAATCCTATGGAACACAATTCTATGCTATTTACTCTTCTACTTTTCATTCATCAAGTAATCTGAAAAACCAGGCATGCAGTTTATGATCTGAATAAAAGCCTGGTGCTAAGTAGTTCAGTCCAATAAAGCTATGCTTTCATCTTAATTACAATGGGACTGCATGTTGTGGTCAACTGCTAAACAATTACCTTTTCTTCAGGAATGCTGCAGCGCATGTTTTCCAGGTAACTTGATGTATTTTCCACATTTGTGTACCTCAAGAGAATATGGGCAAAGTCTTCCTCACTGATGGTGTTCATCCCATTAGAGTAGGAAAGGAATTCTATCTCTAGAACCTCAGTTTGCAGGTTATCCATAAATCTAAAGCACAAACAAAACATGAAAAAATTGTCATACTTTATACTTCTACTGTTCATGTCCATAAAAGACTCACAGAATATGAGCCAAATAATGTTACACAAATTAGCTCTGCAGCACTGATGGTAAATTTGGTAAATCCCTTATCTATACTGACATATTTTAAAGGCAATGCAACAATCTTAACACAATGACGAAATGTGTTAGTAAGGATTAAAATTACTTAATAATTACACTTTTAATCTAATTCTAGTTTGTGTTTGCCCAATTTTCTTCTTCAGTGAGTCACATATCTTTATTTGTATGTGCTAAATTCAAAAATTCCCAAAATTTATTCTCCGTGTAGTTACTTACAGTTTGAAATTTAACCTTTTGTCTTTTTACCAAGCTGAGTATAATGAGGCTTGCAGTCTTTCAATCTAACCCTTTTTAAAAAATACTTCCCTATTCTTACCATATTTCCATAAACTCTTCCCAGCTTAACAACCTATTTAGTATATTCTGGACACCAAATATAAAACCAGCTACCTATAAACAGGAAAAGTAACTTCCCTGATTCTGTGTGATGCCTTAGTCCTACAGCCAAGGGTGAAATTAGCTCTCTGGTCACAGTAGTGCACTGGGAGCCTCATTTATCTCACTGTCAGCCACAACCCATAACATTTTAACTAAGATGCCTTTTGTAAAACTACCTTCTTTGCTGCTTCCTACTTTGAACTTACATCGTGATGTCACTTAATGACACAGTTTTTACATTATGTAAAATACTGAATAATTTTCAGGGCTTTTCATTTAAGGCAAAATATTTCGCAAACTTCTGATTGATTGGAATACACAGCTAATGATAATGATAAACACAATAGATATTAGGAGTATTTACTGAGGAAACAATAACTAAACATTGTATCTCTCCCAGCATACAGTTTTATGGTTCTGTTTTTACGGCACTCTCCCTGTATTTTTAAATTCTGTATTTACTGGCACAATAACGAAGCCAATAGCTTCCATTGTGTTTTAACTTTTACCCAAAGAAGCTTGTTCTAAGGTGCATGCATGGTATCTTCAGAAAAATTTTGCATTTAAATGTGTCCCTAAGTGCAGAGATTCACACCAACATTTTTTTCAAGCACTGGCAAACAGGGGAAAAAATATAATTAATTCAAAATCAAGAAAGAAGTTCCTACCTATCAATAAGGACAGGGCTGGGGCAGAACCTTTCTACTCCAAACTAACTAAACACACAAGTGCTAACAAAATTTGCAAATCTGGCAGCATTGGAAGAGGACTTCTTATTGTTGGTCCACTTAGTGTTTTATTTTTCTCTTTGTGTGTATAACACACACAAAAGGAACACAAACCATATAAACATACCTGCATAAGCTATGTGTATAGTAATAAAGTACACATTAATTAGAACAACTATACAAATATTTTTTACAAAGAATTAATGAAGTTGAGACTCACCTATAAAAATCTTCAAAGTTCAGTTCAGCTTTTCCTTTCTTGCCAAAAAAGTGTACAAGCAGTGTAGTATCTGACAGCGAACTTGAAATATCATCAGCACGCTTAAATATTAGAATAAAAAAAAAATTAAAGGCCATGATTGGATTGGATACAGAAGTATAATTTGAGAATGCCTATCATCATAATAGACTTTTCTATTAAAAGAGTTTGTATTTTATGTTTATAGTCTTAAAAGATTTTAGTATTGAAATCCATTACATTAATTTTGCCATGCAATTTTCACACAAATATATCAGTAGCTGTTAAATGCATTTAGTAGAAAGTAGTTAAACCAAGAGAATGATGTAATGGAAGCTGAAATGAAGGAGGAAAAAGTATGAAAAATAAAACCAGAAACTTGTGAGGAAAAAAAATCTTGTCAGCTAAGGTAGATCATAAAACATTAACTCCCTTTGTACACAATCTCATTTCCCTTCTACTAAGAAACTACAAAGAAATTAAAGTCCTTTAGTTCATATACTCTTATTCTATATTTCAAAAGTACATATGGGATTGTGTTCCAAAATCACATCAGTTAGGTATACTTTACATGATTCTTTTCTGTAAGTGGCAGATACCCGCATCTTGAATGTTATTGCCCAAACACATTTAAAGCACCAGAATGATGAAGTATTTTGGAATAATTAAGCAATATTTGGATTACTTCTCTTCAGAATGTTTCTCATCTAATGGTCTCTGTGCAGGACTGGAATCTCTGAGTATGTATTAATACTTTTTCTTTAATAAATAACATAAGATTTTGAAGGCCAGAATTGGAAGAGAAAGCCAACTAATTTTGACCATTTATAACAGCAAAAGTTGTAAACAGGAATCCAAACAGAAGCAACTATCATCTGTGTATAGTGATTGCATTACATTCCACTGTTTTACTACATATTCATTGCCCTTAACTATTGTATATATGCATTGATTTTACTTATTTGAAAAAAAAGCTCTTAATACACTGAAGGGCTAGAAGAATAATTCAGTGATATAAGGCTTTTGAATAAGCCACAGTAATCCAACATAACACTGTCCTCCTGCATTAACATGCTTCTGCCAACATTTGACATTTAAAAAGTAATGCATTTAGTCTCCTTACTGTACTTCCTTAGGTTTAGATTGCCTCTTGTTCAAGCCTTCATTTATTTTACAAAGACAAGACTTTATGAAAAGCAAAGAGCAGGAGAGCAATCTCTGCTCTTTCCAGGTAAGCTACCACCCATTAGCAAGTTTGCCTGCTGACTACAGTGTTACAGTACAAAACAAGGCATAGCACAGAAACCTAGCAAATATTTGGGAGATGTAACATTAATAATTTATCACCATAATGATGCATTATAAACCTGTGGGGTCTACCATAGGTATAGAAAACTGTTTATACAGCTCTATAAAGATCTACCATAGGTATAGAAAACTGTTTATACAGCTCTATAAAGATCTACCTGTATAAACCTGCAAGCCACACTCAGAGTCCTTTAAGTCTTACTCTATTTCTTCACTGAAGAGGATATAAAATTATAACAGACAAAGAAACTAAGAAACCAGGAAAAATTTTTGAACAATACGCAATAGTTCCAACATCATGATAAACCATGTACCGTGAAAAAGCATTTCACATCTACATTCTCTAAAATATACTATATTATTTTCAAATTTACATACTGATTTGTAAAAAATGTAAAGTGCAATATTCATTAAGAGTATTTATATATCAACAACAAGGGAAAACACAAGGCAGTAACAACACAAATCCCTTCCTTTCAACATCCAATCTAAAGAAATGAGAGAGACTTTTCTGTTCTTTATAATCAGTTTAGGATTCTCAAGATTGTATTTCATGTACTCTAGCTTCCTCTTTATTCTCGTGTTCTTCTCCAGGGAGAAATAATATGACATAGTGTATATAGTGGTAGAGATATTTCATGCCCTTCAATTAAGATAGCTCTGCTCTTCAAGTGAGCAAACTAATTCAGAAAAGTAATCACTATTTGTCTTTTAATATTGTTATCCTCCACTACAGAACACAATATACTGAAATGCAGATACCCTGACTTCTTATGTCTTTTGAGCAATTAAATCCCTAAGCACATTCAAACAATTTCCCTCAAGTTCACTGAAAAGATATCAAATGTTAAATTACAGCCTTTCATCTTGCAAAAACATTTCAAAACCTTAGGCTTAGGTTGCATTCACCCATATCTAAAGAACCGTTTAAAAAAAAAATACAATCTGTAAGTCTTTCCACAATTCCCACTAGGTTGGCCTCACTAAATGAAAAAACTCCAAACAAAAACCTCACTGCAGAAACTCAACCCAATATGCCTCTCTGAAGAACTGCAGGCAACTGAAAACTATTCCTGTGCTCCTTCTGCACTGATAGCATTAAATAAATTCTCTCTTTTATGCAGTAAAGGATAAAACCAGAAACCTTAATAATTTAAAGAAATTATTTATTTTATTATTATTTATTTTTCATGATAAAATTATTTTTTTTTTATTTTAGACCAGTGTAAATTAAATTACCTCACCTGTTTCCATGAGGCTCCACAGGAGCCTCAATATTGATCAAATATATTTTACAATCATTTAAATGAGAATAAAAACCTTCTCATTTCTCTTTACACTAACTGGAATACAAATGCAGGTAGACAGACTGAAAACAAGTGTTTCAATTGTCTTACTGACTTGATGCATAATGGCAATATCTTTTCCTTTCTATTTTCTAACTTGAAGTGCATAAAGTCTATTTATTTTGTATTCTGCAAAATTACTTTCAAGTTCTTGATTAACAAGGGTTGACTAAATGCTAATGCTTATGAGCATTGATTCTACTTTTACCAACATATTCCAATAATTATGTATATTACAATTTCAGTTAATAAGATCTTTCTTACTGCAAACTCTTGATTTTTCCAACAGTGATAACTAACCTACTGATTTCCTGTTTCACTTAGTAATTTAAGGGTAAACCCCAGAACTGAATTTAGTGATAACTGGCATATTCCAACAGGACAGTGGAGTTGCTAAATTAGTAAGAACAGAAACAGTATTATATACTGTCCTAGCAAAAACTAGTTGTTATAAATAACTTTACTCTCTGAATAGACCTTCTGATTCCCACAGCAACAAACCTTATTTACTCTCCTTTTCAACTTACATATAGCCTTCTCAAAAGCCTATGAAACAACACAGACCTCAGTGTCACCTTGCTTTATGCCACTTTCTTACTACAAATAGCTATATTATTCAGATCCAAGAGTACCTAGGAGAGATAAGAATATGGATGAATGCCAGCTGGCCCAAACCAAGCAAGATAAAGATAATTATGGTGAGAAGTAGGAAATTATCAGTGGAGAAAATGCAGAACATGATTTTTCTTCATAAAATGATTTTAACAAGTGAGCAGACAGCCTTCTTATACACTTTACAGAGAATTTAAATCACTCCTGAGTATAGCTGCTATTAAGCTTCAATTACAGTATAGTTACAGATATTAGTCTGAGGCATTAGATATTAAAAATCCTCTTTCTCTTCAAGTTAAAGGCATGTAGAGATTACCAAACTTAAGTCCATCTGGACTTGGGACTGAATTCACTCCAGCTAACTGCACATTAAGATGACATTTCATTCAGAAAACTCAATGCCCCAAGCTTCTTGAATAATCAGAGAAATGAGAAGCCTCCTCCCCCCTCTGTGTCTCCTTATCTGACTAGACTAGAGCACTGATACTCTGGATTTTAAAATTTGATTAAATAAATTAGGAATAATAACTGGATTAACAACTCAGAAGCTCATCAACATAGAAGATAGGGAAGATAGGCTGGGTATATTGCTTTATTGCAAGATTACTATGTATTACTATGGATGTTGCTATAAATATTCTTATAAAACTCAATTCCGTAACAGTACATTTTGTTATGCTCATGGGCAAATGAACACAAGCTGAGAGAAATACAGAAAAACCTTATTTGATACCTAGGAAACATAAGTTCTACCTTAAAAGAAAAATCAAATACCTTATTTTGTTTAGCCCATAATTACAATTCAAATAAATTTAAACAGAGGGCTATGACTGCATTTATAAACACAACCATGAGTAAGAAGATCAACACTAAAGAAGAAGAAAAACACTAAAGAAGAAAAAGCCCTATGAAAATTACAACAGACTAATATAAAGGGAGTATGAGTAAATTTAGCCTGGAAATTAGAAATAAATCCATTGAAGACTTCAGATTATTCAATAGCTTCTGCAGAGGAACAGCAGGGACAAAAACACTAATTACTTTTAATTTGAAGCACACATTGCTTCCAAACCAAGGAAAAAGACTGAACCAAGGTCAGTTTCTGTTCCCTGTTCTTTTCTCATTATGATCCTGCTTAGGAAACATGGAACTCTGACACCACAGCCAGTGGGAAGCTGCTGTATGTTCTTTAATGCCACTACCAGCAGAGCAATCACGCTCACTGTGTAGGGCAAAGAAAAGCATAAATAATCTAGTTTTCTGACCCTCTGAAATTATAAATACAAAGAAATATCTTACTCAATTATCTAGAAGCAGATCATGAAACAAGAATTATTAGAATTTAAAGCAATATGGAAATTAATTTGACAACTCACTGATATTCCTAGACCTCCACAATGTGGTATTAAAGTAATTTTAATATTAGTGTAATATTAAAAAAGATGGACCAATGTTTTGGTCACCTTAAAATATTCCTAGTTTTCTCCAATAATTAAAACAATCTTTGCATTATACTTTTTGTGAAGATTGGCTCTGATAATATACATAGAAAGCAAAGCAAAAGGATGTAAAGATTAAAAGCTTAAAGGGCTACAACTCTCATTAAAGTTGTCATTTTACTGGACCATGTCTAAATGACAAAGGTTTCCTGAATTACTTCTCTAACAGTGAAATGCCATGACTATTAGTGTTAGAAAATACTTCTTATAATGAGGACTGAAGAGGACTTCATCTTCCAACTCTTTCAAAAGGTAACTTTTCTTTTTCTTGGAAATTACAACCTTCAATTATCACATTGTATAGAATCAAATGCATTTGATCTGAGAACTTTCAGGTTTAAAACAAAAAAGTAATCAAAAGGAAAAGAAGAACAAGGCTCATAATAAAAGCAATCAGAACAGAATAAATAAAATAGCAGTGTGTTTATGGACCAGAGACCAGAGAGGTTGTTCTATACCTCCGCAAGGTCTGAAAAGAGTGCTTGGCTTGTGCTACGTCTCAAAGTATCCCAATAGCTTCTGGGGACAAGGTCCTCTCCTTCTGTTTTAAGAACCTGCAGTTTCAAGAAGCACAATTGTTTGAAAAACAAAAAAACATTAGAAAAAACATTCATAAACTTTAAAATATTTTCTAACTGATCTTCAAAAGCAGGGCTTGGTTCCCTTGCTTCTAAATAGTAATATTTTAACCAATTACATGACATTTTGTAAATGAAAGGAACACTGGTCTATTACAGCTATTTGGTTAATGCTCTTGGCTGCACCAAAAGTATCACCAGACTACATCTACCCAAACAAAATAAATTCAAGAAAGCAGAAGTGAAAATATTTATTAAAAGTACATGTCAAAATGGCCATTTAAACTCAGTATTTTGCCACTGTTTTTTCTAGCAATTCTGTTTTTCCAGAAAATATTAATTTATGTATTTATAGAATTCATATTTTCATTGGCTAAAATAAAAATATCACCATACAACTAGTTACACAAAATAATTTAAGCTAACATTTATGATGACATCATTGTACCCACAAAGAAAGGCAAAAAAACAAGCCTAGTAAGTTCAACTGTAACATACTTCTCAGGAAAACACTACCCACGTCTGATGATCAAACTTACCTTGTCATGTGAATGAACACCACATTCTTTCATGCATAAAATTCTATAATTATCTATTTTAAGTAATCACTGAATTTGTTCTCTTATTGGAATTACTTTAGTCAATTGAATTAGTAGTTCTGGGAGTGTACATGTTATTTCCATTGCATGCATCACATCATAGTTATCATGTTCTGGTTGGCATTTGGCCAGTGGAAGCGCTCATGCAGTGCATGCCAAGGCAGTCTTAGACACAAATGCAGTATGCACCAGAACATGACTCAAAAGAATTAACCTATGCAAATACTAAAAACTTTAACCCATTTAAAACATTACTATATGCTTTTTATGGCCTATGGACCTCAGCATACATTTAAAAAAGAACTAGAAGTGTTTTGTAAGATGAAGTGAGGAGAAGGTCCTCAGGCATGACACAGCATGTTGGACTATCCCAGACATTTTAGGGCTGCATCTCCTTGGAATCTGAGTATCTTCAACTCCTCAGGATATCAAAGGAAACAAAAGGCTGCTACACTTATTGTTTCAGTGGGAGAAACAGAAAACCAAAATACCAGTTTTCAGAGATGAGAGATTTACTGAATTCCTATACACCTGAGTCTCCTTTGCATGGAGATCTCCATTCAGATAGTAGGAGGGACAAAAATATGGCACACACCTGGGCATAAAGGGCTTGGATGTGGCCGGAGCCCAGAAGGAGATTTTTTTACTGAAGCCGAAAATTACGTAAGTAGAATGCCTAATCTGTATGTTTTTTAAAAACTGTTTTACTTCTGCCATGATCCAGAAATTAATTAATTAATTAAGAAAATTATCATGATGAAGACATTAAAAACCTCAGATATTTTGCTGCTTCTCTCTTTCACCTCTCAAAAATGAAGAAAAAGAAGTTTACTGCCACCTAAGTAATGGAGGGAGTATTTTCTGTAAAATCCTTTCCTAGTTTAGCACTGAAAGTTCTCATGTGTTTGTTCTGTAGGTGAAGCATGAAAATAGGAAAGCTCTCTTCAGGGTTCTTTTTGGGGGGCAACAAAGAGGTGAAGGATTCAACTGACTAATTATTCATACTATACACAAAGAAACAAAGAGATTGATCAAATGACTCATGCAGGATGACTTAGTTTACACACATTAATTAAAAATGTGTATATTTTATTGAAATGTATTTTGTACTTTCCCTTAAAAATACTGTTTTCTCCATTTTATATAAATAGAGAGCAACCTTTCCTCCTGATAGGCTTGTATGCTCAGCATGCAATCTTTTATGCAAGTCAAGATTCCTCACATTTTTACTGATTAGCAGAAATAATTTACTTGATGAAAAAGATAAACACAATAAGTTCTCTTATTTATTTCATATTATTTCATCTCACTGGTGAAGACTGCATCAATTGAAAATAATTAGAGTACATACACTGTTAGTAGGAGTATGATATCCATAAAGTTGAAGACGCTGACATACAGCAAAAATGGGCCAAGTCAAGTATCACATGTCAGAATGAAGAAAAAAGAAGGGGGGAAAAAAAGACAACAGAATAGGTTAAGACAAGCAAACCTTTACTTTACATATAATTAGTCTTTTTGTTTATTTGTTTTCAAAATGACAGTGAAGAATAAAAAATGGTTTCCTTTCACTCTTACTCTTCAAATTTTCAAAAGAGAAGTACAGATTTTTAGAGATTACCCCCAGGACTTATGTGCCATTTTGCAATCTTTATGTTCTCCAAAAGCTCTTCCTTTAGGTCCCTTTGTTCAAAATAAACATTCTATGAGAGATTCAACAACTGACCTACAGTTTTGAAAAGTTGAGCAGGATAGGTCTCTCTGGGTGGGAAGAAAAAAATCCTCTTTTTCTCACAGAAGGTTTAAAAAGTATTAATTCTTGAAAATCATACCTCCTCTGGTTTCAGGGACAAAGAACTAGGACTGAGCATTGATGTTGGCAAAAGTATAATGGGCACTGAGAAGCTCTGTTGATATGTCAAAATGTTCCTTATAATATGGAATTTTTTTCCATAAATATGCAAATTGCAAACAAACGTGGGTTGTTTTTTTTTTCCTCTCTGCTTGATGGAAATTTGTCCCTGATATTTACTGTTCCAACAGTAAAAGAATTACCTATCTGCCATCCTCAGTAAAACCACCACAGACTCATTTATTTCTGACTTACCTTTTTTATTTATTTGCATGAAATGCAAATTTTACATTACGTGAGTACCCAATATTCCACAGAAATTTATTCAGGTTAATATATTTTGTATTGGTCATAAGCATTATTTAGTAAGAAATTAAATTTGAATATAAAGTTTAAGTTCAGTTGTAACATCTCATAATCTATTTTAAAACTACTATGTGGATAATAAGCACCAGGATCAGTAGGTCTATATGAACAGCTTCAGTTCTTCTGAAAGCAAGTCTTCCCACTGAGATATCTCTCAGTTATAGACAGTAACACTGGGTCATTACTATTCACTTTTTCCTAGATTTCTAAACTCCAAATGGAATCAATGCTATTGTCATAACATATTAAAATACTATTTTTTCCTTCATATAAACCACTTACACTTTTTCTTCCCAGTAACTGCAGTTTAGGCTAAATATTGCTTTTTTTCTACATATAAAGTTATCTATATTCTTTTAACAATACGAATTTAGTGCTTAAAGAAAGAGATTGGTGAAATATATACACTCATAATTTTGTCCTACATCAAAAAAATCAAGCAATCAGATGCAATTTTTTTGATTTCACTTACCAGCATTGCACGTTTTTCTTCATCTCCTCTTTTTTCTCTCTTCTCATTTTTTTTTCTGAAGATCTCTTGAAGCTAAAAAGCAAACCATTTTGTTCCTATTTAGTGTTCAGCCTGTTTTCACATGCATAACAATATCCTTCATCATAAGGAACATTACAAACAGTACTAAAAAGTAGTTCTTTACTGAAATATCAGTTTCAGTGATGCTTTATTGTTCATTCTCATGCCTTCATGTTCCTTCTGCAACTTAAACCATCACACAGAAAGGGAAAAAGGAAGTATTTTTTCCACAAAGTAAGGGTAACAATTCTACTTGGGAGTACAATACTAAGAACATCCTTTTTCACCACCTCAAGGCACTTCCGTTCTTGTCAGGTTCTAATTAGTATCTTTATGTTTATTTAGTCAGCTGGATCAATCTTTTTGCATATTAGTTTCTAACCTGATCAGTTCTTACTCCTGCTGGCACAAGGGAGGGGTAGAAACACCTGGTGGGGGTGAAACATTCCCCTTCAGCAGCAACAAACTACTACTCAAGAGTAATTTATCAAGTACCCTTCCTTTTCAAGTCTGTTCAAAGAATACCTTCAGGTCTTGTAAAATACCCCTTTCACAACTATCTCAACATGAAGAGCTTTAAACATGACTTCTGAGAAAACCTCAAATACAAGATTTCAGACATGGATTCTTAAGCATATTTATTTTTGTAAATTCTTCAGAGGAAGAACTGGATTGTACTTATCTTTCTTTGCAAGTGTCTGTTTTATTTAAGTATTTTTATTTATAGTAATACCAATTAATGTTCCCAAATCATTAGAAAAAGGTCTGACAGTGTTTAGCAAGAGAGAGCAGTATTAACTATGATACTATCTAGGTCTCTACTAGAACTTCAGCTCCTAAAAAACTGCATGTGAATATATCATACTGTCAGGTGTAGAATTTGTTATCCTCTAAGTGGGCTGGAAAAGGAATAAACCCTGATCTGAGAAACTTGTCCTATGTAGAATAGGGTATTTTCAGAACCAAACACCTTGGCATACAGACACAATTGTGGAAGTCCTTTCAAAAGTAGAATTTTACCTACCACAAGTCTGGTAAAACCTGATAATGTAATGGCATTTACACAGAGCTCAATGAGGATTGGAATGCAAAACAAAGTGTGTGTGATAAATTTTGCAAGGAAATTTTCCAAACTAAATTTCAGGATATCTTTATTTCAGAGAAGGCAGATGAGTAAGACAAAGGGATCAGCAAACTTTACTGCAGGGGTATGACAACACAAAAATGAAAGAATTCAATGTTTAGTAATTAAACATTCATTAAAAAAAATTAAAATTTGACTACTGAGTTCCAGAATTTTCTATAAGACAAAGAGAGACCAGAACATTTTTTGTACCACAATACCTATTTTTGAGTATGGGATAAATTTACAGACTTTGGTAGATGTTTTCAAATTTTTTTGCAAACTTAGCAGCACAAGTTACTGTAACTTTTGCCAAAAAGGAAAGACTCTTGATGGGATAGAGTACTGCACAGTTTGCAACCCAGAACAATGCAAAGAAAAAAGTTAAATGAACAGAGAGAAGTAGAAAGAAAATCCCTTGTGAAAAGTGAAGTGACAAGCCATCAAGCAGGAGAGAAGAGTGGCAGTAATTGAAAAACCCAAAAAGATCAGTAAAAGCAAGGCATCCTTGGATGTATTTCCCCTGCCAAAGAGGCAAAAGGAGTAGGATTCTGTTGCATGCATTATTAAAGCCCTTGCTAAACTTCTGGAAATGGATCTTTTGTTCAGAAAGAGTGCTATAGGATACCAGTGAATGAAAAAAGGGAATGCAAAAAGGGTCTAGGAGTACTTTCATAGGAACATTGTTTGAAATAGGATAATGAGATTGACTGCTGAAGGCAGCAAAAACAAGATCTCCAGTAACAAGGCAACACAATCCTTCTGTTCCCTGACCTCACCCCTATGACATAAGCAAAGAGGAAAGCACAAACACCATGAAATTTGTTTACAAAAACAATACAGCTATTATCAGAAAAAATAAGTTTTTTCCAGCTCTTCACTACACATACTGCTTTCCCCAAGAATCACACAAAATGGGATCCCTAAACAAAGCTCTTCAAAGTCTTTTTATTTGTTAAACTGAACAGCATTTACTAAAAATTTTGCAATAGCTGCCTGTAATTGATGGATAAATGCTTTGTAAATATTGGGGTAGTTCAAATGGCAACTTTTGAACAGTCTCCTTCTTTCAGGCACACAGGATATGATACATCATATTCAAGCAATGTGAGTAAAGATCCCAAATGTATGTTCTGGTGCCAGTTCTATCACAGATGCAATATCACTGAATCAACTTCTATTTTCATATTTACTTTTATTACAGAAGAAATCTATCTACCTATCTATTTTAGTCTTTCTCACTTCAGATCTAACATTTTGACTTAAGGGTTCCGATCTAATTTTTAAAGGATCACTGACACCTAATGAAGCAGACCTGACCTCAAGTTTAATCTCTACAGATTTGTTAAATACAATCATAGGTAGGGGACTCTTTCTAAATTCTACTTTCTTTCTTTAGCAGACCAAGTCTGCTAACAGGAAAAGAATAAGGAGAAACTTCAGCAAATGATCATGACAGAGAACCAATACATAGCAGGACTGAAGAGGACTATAAAAGCATAATTAGAAAGAAAGATGCAATATTCTTAGTTAAATGTTGTCCTTGTTTCCCACTTTAAATGCTTATTTAATTTCATTTTTATTTCATATTTTATTTCAAATTTCTGAAAGACAGTCTTGCTTCAATCTCCTCTCATTTAGCTATTGTAATGGAAGCCCTTTTTTCTTTTAGAACAAACTTGTGAGTCTATTTCACCACATTTTGTTTAATTGAATAATGAAAGATGCTTGCTTTTTTTCTTTCCTCTATTTTTTCCTTTTGTTAATTAATCCAATGTTTGCTGGTTTGTTCCTCCAACTGGAGGAGATGCTTATTAAGAATTAGCACATACAAGGATGTGTACATTTAATAACAGAATACAAAAAAATGACCAGCATGCCACAATTTGCAAGTGGTGTCACCTTCCAAAATAAATTTGGAATTTAAGCAGACACTTGTTCTGCTTAAGCCATGTGACCAGAACAAGGCCCCAGATCTCCTCTCAATTCCCTGAAAAGGAGAATGAAGTTCCACTCTGTTTCTGCAAATTCTGTGCATTTTGCTCCATCTTTTTCAGTAAGGCACTGGGCTTTTTCTCATGTGTACTCACTGTATTTATTTATAAGCTCAATTACACAAAAATGTATGAAGATAAAATTTATATCCTTCACACAAATATTTTTTTCCAACATCTGATTCAATTCTTGTAAGTGTTTTATTGTATTAATCATCAGTACTTTTTCAGTAGAAAACTAAGGCCTTGTTTAGTCTTCAGAAAGCTTGTCTACACCACTAACCACAATATTTTAAATGTTAATGTCTAATGTTCACTGTAACTGACTGCTTCAGTGTAATCCCAGACAGCTGCTGCCTATGGACACTAACAATTTAGAGATCTCTGGTTTATGGTGCACTTTTTTTAACAGAAAGCCACACAGTTCTTGTAAACTCAGAAGCCCTAACTTTGAGTGGTCAATTCTGTGCATTTCCTTTTTTTTTTTTTTTTTTTTTTAATAATCCATCACTGGCATTTACTTACAGTGGCATTAATTATTCCTCCCATTTCTTTTGAAATCAGAAAATAAATTAAATGAACAGGAATCTAAAATAGCCCTTTCGTTAGTGCACAGATCATTCTCCTGAACTTGGTGCATCCTACTACATGAAAACTTATGAAGTATTCAAATTTTAAGATGCAATTATCAGATTTATCATGATACAAATGATAGTGGATGATTTCAGATTTTCAAAGATTTTCTTTTAAGTGTCAAATTATTCTTCATTTTCAAATCTCAACAACATGTGAAGTTCTTTCAAAGTCTGGGCTTTTTATAACTGTTTAGATTTCCAAAGTGAAAAAAATAAACTCTGCTTAAATAATTAATAAGATGAATTTACAGAACTGCTTTTTACAAGCCATGAACAGAGAAAAGCTCTTAATTTGAAAAATACTGTCATTCAAATTAGTAATGTAGCAAAACCTTGGATGCATCCAAACTACTGCCAAGTTCTAGGTATCCTGCCATCTGTTCCAAAGCACGTGGAAATCATTCAGGTCAAAGCCAATTTCACTCATAGGAATATTCTCCTTAAAAAACACTCACTGAACCCCAGCTTAGCAATTTGCTTCAGCATATGGATTTATGGGCTAAACTAGATATATGTATGTTTAATTTCATTACAAATCTTGTCCAAAACAGATGATAGTGTCACATTATGTCAGTCATTGTTTTTGGGTCACTTGTGATTATCAGCAGATTAGATGGCAAAGTGAGGTGGTCTTCCAGCAAAATATTTTTTTACAAATCCTTCCATCATTAGAGTAATTAAATAACTCTGCTAATCATTAAAACATTTCTATTACTTTAATAGCCTATCTGTGACTACAGCAGTAATTAAAAGATGCAGAATAAAAACTAGAATTAAGCTTCAAAAATAATTATATACAACACTCCTGTGCACTCTAAATAGGAGCTTCTATTTTCAGTTTACATTATAATAACTATTTATATTGAATAAAGCAAACAACTACATTCAGTGAAGAATAGCTAGCAATGTAGATAGCATTCTCATGACTATTGCCATCATCACTTCAGTTTCAAGATTACACCAAAAACTGCAAGCATACATACCACTAAGAATTCCTTTTTGTCCACCATTTCATTGCCATCAGTATCGAACATGTTGAAAGCAATTCGAAAACCCGCATGTGGTTCTGCCAAAAAAATGCCAAACATTCAATTATTTATTTCCTTGGAAAGAATGCAAGTGTAATACTCTAAGAAATTATTTGGTGTCCCTACCTTCATAAAAGCCAGAACTTCAACTAATTTAAATCAGGGTATTTGTGTACATAGTAAATGCAAATCATAACATCTGTAAAAGAGTATAACCCACGTAATTCAAACAGAAGGCATGCACACAAAAGTAGAAATAGAACATGAAATAATAGTATAGTATCTCACAAAAGAGTGTTAGTTCATGGGCAGAGTTCATTTTATATTACAAATACAGATATGTAGAAAATAAATTTTCTATGAAAACATACTGCTCTAGAAGACACTTTAAAAGATTTTCCAAAAATTGGTACAGGACATACCTTCTGGTCAAAGTAAATGTTATGCTGAAAGACACTCAACATTTTCTTGTTTACATGCTTACAGCCATTGAAATTTGAGATCAGGTTAGAACTTTAAATTATTTCTGAAACATAGTGACTTTGATGGTAACTAAAAGTAAAGCCTTCAAGCAACATTTTGGGGATACCCAATGATTTGCAGTATGAATGAATTATGGCCAAAAGTTAATTCAGATAACAGAGAAATGACGGAAGAATCATTGATCCGACAGTAGAAGATACTAAGGTTTCAGGGCCAAGCTCCAGCTCTGATTCATAACAGGAACCCAGTTCATATCCAAAAAAACCCCACTAATTAATCCAATTGAAATTATTTAATTACATATAAGTGAAAGACAAGTAAAACTCTTTGCTTCTTCCCAGAAAACACCTCTTAAATATATAAAAAAAAAGCTGAATCAGGCTTAGTTTATCCTAAGTTATTTTACTTCAAATTCATGTCAATTTTGTTAGTGTTTCTGACATAAATACTTTATATTTTACCACTGACTCTTTGATTTTACCCTTTAGGCACTAATTGTTGACATAAACCAAAAAAATGTGTATCCTTCTATTCTCCCTATATTCAGTGTGCCTTATGAACTTCAGCAAATTTAGCTACAAATTTTGTAGGAATTTCCAACAAGAAAATAAATTTAGGCTCTTAACTGGGGTTTAGCTGGAGTGTGTGGCACAGCTTCCTCAACATCCACTAAAAGGTATACCAGATAATAATGCATTTAAATAAAGCATAACACTGGATTCCAGAAGGGCAAAAGAGGTTCAGAGGGGCACAGAGATGTATGGTGTAGTTTTTCTACATGCAAGGATGGGAAGTGTAATTGAACACACAACAATACATTCAGAGCTTTGAAATGGTAAGGAATCTTTTAGACTTTTTCTCAAAAAATACTTACTTGTTAAAATACATAAGAGGAATAAATATTCTGTGTAAGATATCACACCTGAAGACAAAAAAAAATTATGCCATGTTAGTTTCACCTTGTCTTCACATCCTAAACTTGAAAACACTAAATCTATATATAAGGAGAATTTTTGTACATGTGCATTTGCATAGTCATACTTGTATGCATGTAACTATTCAACCTGGCCAATATGTTATTTTTCTACAATATTCATCTATGGCTTGAGGCTTTTTGTTTGGGTTTGTATTTTAGCGGAGGAGTACATTAAACATGGCAAGCATGACAGTCAGTGGACCACAGCTCATTAAACAGAATCTGGATAGACCCTTAAAAGCTAATAGAAATTATTTATTCAATTTTTTTTACAAAAACCCCACCAGTAATTCATGATAATACTCTTTAACAGTATGAAGACATTTACTTTGAGAACATTAAGAGGGCTTCCTCTTAAGTTAAAGTTCAGTTCTTTTTAAATGCATGTGCTACATTAACTGAAAACTTGATCTCATGGTTTTTTTTTCAAAACTGCAAAAGGGAACCACACTGTGGAATGGCACTTCCTTTTCTCTTTAGAAGTGACTAAGGCAAAATTCAAATTAGAGCTGAAGTCAATACCCAAGTAGTATGTCTGGTACCGTAAGTTGTACTTGTGCCTGTCTGGAGTAAGGGGTAAAGAGACAAATTTGCAGAAGGTCCAGAGCAGACATGAAGAGAAACATCTCATAGTTCAGTAAGAATGGGAAACAATGGCTTGCAGCTCTCCCGAAAGCCCTTAGCTCCAATGACACTTGAAGCTGAACTAGGAAAACTTGTTCCTGATTTCTAACAAATTGGTTTTGTCTGTCCTCCAAAACCAGAAGTTTTAAGTTAGTCCACAATATTAGATTATTTCAAAAGAACAGAGAAAAAAAAAGTGTTTAGATGCCTGAGAGTAAAGATGTCTATCAGCTAGGATTTTCAAAAGTTGCTGTCTGTCTGCTTGATTTCAGTCCAAGTCAGGTGCAAAAGTTTTCCCAAAAACAGGCACATCTTTGGATGTTTAAATATCTTTTAAAATCTGACTTAACTGAATATGTGACAAACTAGGTAAGCAGTCATCTGATTTTTTTTAAACTGAAAAAGCTGTACAATTAAAACTAAAAGTATTGTATCACTCATGTGATATAATTACTCCCATTATACTTAATATCCCATCTTTTGATCCAAGAGCAAATTTAAGTCTTCAGAACAAGTATTTTATTACTGCTAGTAGATCTAGTTATGAAACTTAATACAATTTTTTCATACCACCTACTCTTTTCTTCAATTTACATATTCTTGCAGATTAGCAATAATTAAATACAGGCATTTAAGTAACACATGCTCTATGCTTTATCTTCCTGATTTTATACAGCAGCTTGCAGAAATTCAGTTTTCAAAGGTCTGCTTGAATCTGTTTGGACAAGCACCTATCAAGAAATCAGATACCTCAAAGGTTCTCATTCAGTGATGGAAAACATTCTTTAATAGCCAGTCAATAAATGTAAATATATATGTTTGTTTTTTTGATGGCACCTCCTTTGTTGTAAAACAGGAAGAAACTGTAATTGTCAAGTAGTCCATCACAGGTACAAAGAAAGCAATATAAATGGCCTTGCAAACCTTCTCTCCTTTTGTTTGTACTGGCATATTGCAGTTGTAGACAGTCAGTTCTGGTTGACTGCTCTGAGTGTTATGGGAGAGAGGCTCTGAAATGATGATTGAAGGGAAAGAAAAACTTACTCTAAGATCAGAAGGAAGAGAAGGAGGGCACTCAAGGGTAAAACATAATAAAAACTTAAGGTCAGTGGGCATAAATCTGCATGCCTCAGCTGAATTACATAAATCTATGGCAAAATAAACGGACATAGGCTTTTGCTACTTGCTTTGTATATGCATGTTTAAAAAAAATGAGTAAGAAACAACAACAAAAAACAAGATGAAATTATAACCAAGGAGACCTGAATTCTATTTCCATTTCTTTCACCAATTTAGGCTATCAGTCATAAGACCCATCTTTTCTTGTATTTTCTATAAAACTGGGCAATAGAACTCACCTTTTCAAAAAACATGCTGAAAAGATATCCAACTACTAAAGTCTAATACTAATTTTACCATCTTGTTTTGACAGTTTGAGTCCTACCAATTCCATCAACTTCTGTATAACTCACTGGCAGAAAATTGGAGTAATATACTGTTGAATCAAGACTGCGCATGTTGCAGACATTTTATTACAGACTTAAAAAGCAACATCTAGATGCATTTTTTTAAATGATAATGTATTGATTTAGCAGATTCTGAGGATGAATTTTTATGCAATTAATATTTCAAAAGTCAGCTGTTCTGACTATATAGAAAGCAGCCTAGAGCAAAGAAACACATTGAAATACAACACAAAGATGTGCCAATTTCTGCCTCTCTGTAGTGCTGGCTGCAGACTCAGGAAAAAAAAGGGAGTGCCTCCATGTACTAGAGCTTCCTTTGAGAGTATGTCCATACTACTTACTTTTTGAATACATCTGAGCTGCATTTGAGTTATATTAATCAATTACATGCATATGTTTGATTGGAAGTTGCTGGTGTGCTTATTTTAAGCACATTGCACATGCCATGTAGTGTCTTTCTTTTATAACAAGTACTTGTGTCTGAAAATATTTCAAATGTGCCACCAAATCTTTGCCACTCTAAATATAAGCAAAGAAATATGTGGATTCTTTATCATAAATAGCCTTTAAATGTCTGTAAAGCCATCATTGTTTTATTTCCCTATGGGTTTTTTTTTGTTGTGAAGTGATAGAGCTTATTAAGAAAGAAAAAAAATACAACAGAGGAGACCAGGAGTGACTCTTGGCTCTTCGCTTACCAATAGTGTAAGTTTTAAAAACTATCAAAGCCCTCATCTGCAGAGTTTAAAGGAATACATAACATTTCTGAATCTTTGTTGTGTACAAAATAAATTCTTGTCAATCACCTTTCTCATTAAGATTACGGAAAAGTTTGGATGATCCCTTCCAAACCGGTGGTGTCTCCATAAGGATCTGATTCAGTTCCTAAAAAATAAGGTTTAAAAAATGTAAAAGCATATATTTCAGCATTTAATGAAGTAGTTAATAGATTATGATTAAGTTCTAGGATATCAATATAAAATACAAGGAGCTACATGCAAATCTACCAGTTTATTTAACTTCAGTTACCACAATGATTTTGGAAGTATTTAAGCACTCCATAAAATTTTGTACACATGATTATTTCAAGAATTACTCATCTGCATGAATACTAAATGTTTGCTGAGCTGGAGAGATATATGCAATGTATTTGTGGCTGAAATAACTCACCACTGCTCATATTGACTGAAGCCAAGGATAAGTCCCCATGGATTTCAGTGAGGTTTTCATACAAAATCTGAACAACTGTTCTTTTAAAACACTTGACCTGAACTAAAGCAAACTTCACCCATGAATATGAATGTATTTTACTTAAAACACAGGGAAACAGAGTCCTTTTGCAGTTATTCAAATGAAAAAAAAATGAAGAAAAAAGAGGCATTTAAAACACCACAAAAGGCAGAGAGTGGCATAAACATTTCAGGCAATTTTGGATACACATACTACACCTAGACACTAAGAAATGCAGTCAGATATAGACTGAGGGAGAAACTGACATGCTTGACAAAGTCAGTAAATCCAACAAAACAGACACAGCGGCTCAAGTATCTGAGATTCTGGATTCAGCTGAGTCTGAAGTGGCAAAAATGAAGAAATTAAACTCTCTTTTGCTGCTACATTTCCATCACAAACAAAATCAGCTACAAAAATGTATGATTATAAGCAGGAATTATTGCTTACCTGCTTTGAAAGGGATCGCCACTTTTTAGCATCTGCAACAAAAGAAGAAGTTATGAATGCACAGATTTTAATTATGCCAATGTGGTGTCATGACAATTGGACTACATCTATACTGTGTTTTCTAGACAAAGCATTATTTGCCTTACTTCATGAATGTAATTGTCCTTATGTTATTAAAAAACCCTTTAATTTAATACATACCTAATGTCCTAACTTTAAAGAACAAATTCAGATTTAATTTTTAATCCAACTCTGCTTCAATGAGGTAAAAGACTTTCAACTCCCAAAAATACATCCTTAAAACATTTAACAGGACATAGAGGGCATTCATGCTAACCCCTGGCATCAATATTCTGAATGATTATTTAGTAGCAGAAGTATCAAAATGTAAATTGTAAGGAGACCTGGATGACAACCTTTGCTTCATGGACGACTCATACTTTTTAAAGCAAATACAAAAAAAATTCCTTGAAACTACACCAAGTGCTAATATCAGAATTCACAAAGGTCCAGAAGTAGCATTTTATGTGGTCAAATCCACAACTTTTTGGTGGGTAAAGGCTTCTTTTTATAGAGCAAAACATGCTGTGTTATTAGAAATCCTTTTCTCTTAATGAATTTCATGCCCCATTAAATAATTAAAGCAATACACAAGCTACCCACTATGGTCTTTCATCAGTTCATGGTTAGAAACTGATTGAAATTTAAATTTTACATCTTGGTGAAGGTTTACACCAAGACCTTTGACAAATCCTACTCTTAACTATGGTGGAATTATATTATACAACATCATAACATCAGCTAACAGATTTTCAGTGTGATATTTTAATTAAGTGCCCTAAAACAAAAAAAAATGCCACATAAATTGATGTATGTTTATGCCTACCATAAAAAACTTGGAGACTAAATATATCTAATTTTCCAATCAGAATATTTCCCAGTCTTATATGTTAAATACATATTTTCTTTCTAGATAAGTCAGTGAAGATTTATGTGTGTGTGTATATATATACTTCTTACAGTTCAGTATTAAGTTAAATTTACTATAGTTAGGACTAAGGGGAAAAAATATATTTCATCTTCTCTTAATTTGTTTTCTCACTATATAAACACATATTCAGAATATAAAAATGCATCAAGAACAACTCTTAAAAATAATGTATGATTCCAAATGAAAGCCTTTACCATAAAGGCAGAAGGAAGTTAATTACAGCATTAATTTTATATTTTTTGTAATAAATGCCTGGAGTAAAAAGTTACATTTTATAAAAGATATACTCTTACCATATTAGTTAGAATTTAATCAAAAAAGGCAGTGAAAACCCTCTTGACTTTTGTAGGGTTTACATGATTTCAAACGTAAATCAATCACAATAGATGCATTCACTCCATCACAAATATTCAGGCCTAGTATTATTAGCTTTTCTATAAAGCAGACATAAAGAGCTTCTATTATTATACTTCAAAGGGCATTATTGCTTTTTGACAAAACTGAAGACCTTTCTAGTCATCATTCATAAAAACCTCAGTTATACGTTCTTTTTTTTTATTATGCAAAGTATAGATGGTCTAGTATGTCAACCTGAATGGACCCAATCAGATATAACTTGCAAGTTATTTATAAAATGACCCCAAACATAAAAAATAAAATGTTTAGACTGTATTATTAGAAAAATTACTTCCTTGAATGTACTACTTTCAACAGAGCAAGACAGAAAATTGACTTGCCCTAGAATAGAAACTGATACTTTGGTAATGCTGTAGTACAAAGGTTAGAATTACCATAGTCAGAGGTGAGAAGCTGGATTTGGTAATCTGTGGGTCATCTATTTCAGCTATTCCTATTTATCAGCCTTCTGTTCCTATGTCCCAGACAATATGACCTGCACTAGAACAAAGTGATCCACTTCTACTTAGTTATAATCCTTTAGAATAGTTATGTTAACCATGTAATCTCTGATACCATGAAACATAAAAACACCCAGGTTAGTTTTGCTTTTAGTCTCAGAGGTGAACTAGATGAACAGAAGGATTTTGATAGAAACAAGGTCTGCTACACTGAATTCAGAAGGGTGCCTGACTCTCCATCTCCAGATCTCTTCTCCTTTTCCATGAGATAAACAGAATGCCCCAGAATGTCCTTATGAGCTTAATGATTTTTGGTTTCGTTTTGCTTTTAAAATCTGAATACTTGCTTTGTGACAGGAGGAAGTAGCAACTTCATCAGCATGGAAAAATTTTAATAGCAAACCATACATAAAGTGTGGTCTAGCCAATCAAACTGTCATAAAACAGAGTTAAACCAAAATGTTTTAATGATGTCCAGTATATATAGCACAAATGCTTAATGACCATACACAGTGAAACACAACTCCACACTAACAAAAAAACGGGAAGAATTGAAGGTCTCAGCAGAGGAAACAGATAAAAAGTGCTGATGTGTATTTGTATTAATTTGTGTGATAAGCAATCTGCTTCCTCTCTTTTAACTGGAAAGCAAAAAAAAAAAAAAATTGCTTTCTGGTAAGAGTTTCAAAGTTTTGCAAGTTTTCACCATCTAAGCTCTATCTTCTATCTTTACTGTTACAATGAGATTATATCTTTATTCAAAAGTTACAGAAGTTTTGATCACTGATGTGCCATGGCTGAATTCTTTCCTCTTGTTTCATTACTATTAAGAGAACAAAGGGGAAAAGTCCAACATCTGCACAAATTTTTAGCTTCCTCTGACTGTTTTAGCACTGTTTTTGACTGTTTTCCATACTCGCTTTGTGGTATAGACTGAAGAAAGGAAAACCTAAAGTGAGTGATTATACCTGTTACACCTGAGCAAAGATATTCCCATTCCCCAGAAGCTGTGTGCTGCTACCAATGCAAGCCTGAGGGCCAGGAAATCAAACTAGAGCAGAAAGGGATCACCTTACTATTTAGTCGCTCTTTGATACTTAAAGCAAAGATTTTACAATAAATGATCTGAAGTTGATAGTTAATTTTTCATTAATTAATACAAAGTACTAACACTGGCAATGTTTAAGTGCAGAAAGTTGATCCCCTGGGGGACTAAAACTCTAAAGCATGCTATTTAGAAAGCCATGATACAGCTATATGTTATATCTTAAGTCTTTTAGAGAATGCGTATGTTGCCTGCTTACAGAGAAACTATACAGAAGAGGAAGCAAGAATTTTACAGCAATACAAGTCTGCTCAGAAAGAAACTGTGTCAATGCAAATGGCATAAATTAACTTGCCATCTTTCATGACTGTTGAGCTGTTTGCAACCTTTAAGACAACAATGTTTAACCTGCACCACAGACGTTTCCCCTAGCAGTTCTAGCATTATAGAACCCCTGCTTACGTTTGGGTTCATCACTTGTAACAGCCTGGATGAAGTCGTATGGAGTCATGTACAGCTGTCCTTCAAATTCCAGACTGGCAAACCTACGAAACCGTTGCTCCCGTGGAGTTGCATAAAGGTGTAAATCTTCCAGATCTGATCTGTTTTCTGTAGCCTTCAAAGACAGAAGGAAGCAGTTTTAATCTAAGAAAAAGGTTCTGCTTACAATTACCACATTCACCACAAAAGAACTGTAACTATAAAAGTGATAATTCATAAAGTCAAACACAGCCAAGTATTTTCCTATGGTAAGAGCTGAAACTACAATTGGGATTTTGCTGCTACCATTTTCAGTCTTCTACAACTTTAGCAACGATCTTTGTGTATTGAAATTGATGGTACTACCCAAACTCAGAGGAAAAAATTTAAAAAAAGAGGATTTTATCTCCTGAAGCATAGAAGGGGCAACTTTAACTCAAGAAAGTTATTGTAACTTCAGCAGCCAGACTTCAAACAACTCTGCCAAAACTATTTCAGTTTTCTGACAGTTCCAGAAGAGAACTGAGAATTTTTTTAGTATTTCTTCTTAATATGAAGTGCAGCTGTTAATAGTAATAAGCCTCCATAATATACTCCAGTGCAAAGCTACCATATCTGGGGGAACTGAAGAAGAGAAGAGCATGATTGTAATTCCAGAGTTACAGAAGTATAATATAGCATTAAGCTCACATATCACCAGAGTCTGTGTCAGGAGTTTCTGGTATATTTCCCCTCCAGCTAATTTAAATGTAAAGTTGGTAGTACAAAACTGTAAATATTCTAAATTCTCACATCTTTCTGTTGCACTACCAAACCTTTAATAGAAAATATGCTATTGCTATCTGAAAACTCTTTTTAGATGATAACGAGGCAAGCTCCTCTGTGAAATCATTATCTTGAAGAAAATGTATGTATCAACATCTTTTCAGAGATGAAAAATCCAAACCCAAACTGTTTCCTAGAAAGAGCAATCATGTAGGTAACTTCTCCCATTATGTTAAAATAGGAATACAGCATCTTATCAATGAAATCTCCCAACCTCCTCATTACTCCTGTCATTTAAAATGATGTTCCTAAAATTCTCCATCTGTCTAACTAAGGAACACACAATTAAACTATAATGTTTTCTTTTAATAACTAAGAAAACAGGCAAATGCACTTTATTTTTCAGAGAGGCATCTAAACCCAAATGTAAGTTGGAAGATGTCTGCAGTGGCTGTCCACTAAGAGATAATGGTTCCCAAATACAGATAGAAATTAGTTTTCCAAAACCCTTCTAAGAATAAATTACAGTTTTCAGCAATTAGAAGCAAAGACACATTTATGCTGAGTAGTCAAAGACCTGGGCTCACTTTTCTTCAGCTTTTCAAACAACATGCTTAAAAAATAAAACATTTGTGAGACTACTGCAATCAAACAAAATTTTATGGCCTCAGTTTTGACTAGGAGATTAAATTAGATTTGTAGAAGAGAAATATCAAAGATGAATGTGTCTAGAAGAGGTCAAACACTTTCTATTTGGAAAAAAAAAGATGTTTTATAGGGGAGTCTTACTACTTAATACCTTATCTAGGACATTTTAGCCAGTCTTCTATAAGGACAAAAGACTGTGTATTTCTCTTTCTGGACTGTCTCTAGTACTTTCAAAATCATTGTTCCATGTGTGTATGTGTGAAAATATTTTGTTTCAACAGACGAACCTGTCACAGAAAGTAAGATTAAGAGAAAGGTCGATACAATAATTTAATTTTCAGTAGACTACTCTACAAATATTCTGGACTTCTGCATGAGAAGTAGCTCTAAACCAGGGCTTCATGTTTTTCATAATTTTCAAATGATTACCACCTTAAATATGGGAAGAAAAAATAGCCTAACAGCCAGGTCTAAAAAGTCATCTTAAAATGACAGAAACAAGATGAATTCTTTTCTAACATACTCACATGCAAGACAAAATATTTCTGTCCTATCTCACCATTTGAATTATTTTGGTCTTACTGATCCTTCAGCAGTCCAGTGGCATTCAAGCTATGCCTTCATGTAGATAGTATGTAACTCAGTTGTTCTGATAGAACTTGTAGTGACACAACTGATTAGCCCTGTATTTGAAGTTTAATAATTATCTTTTTTTTTGATATGTATGTTATTTTATCACTATTACAAACATGCTTGTAAATACAGTCAGGTTGTAAACACAAGTAATAAAACAGTATTTCTGCAAAGTCGATTTTAAGAAAAGAAACAGCCTCAAGGCCATATTACACACATGTATGCAAAATCAATTGCAGTCAATAATCAATCACACACAATCACAGAAATCTTTAGATAATGTATATTTCAAATATAATTTTAAAATTGATTTTGATCAATTTTGACAGTTTTTATCACTGTCAGTGTTTAGAGAGCATGGTGAGACTTTGCTCTCAAGAAATTCTCACTGTCTCAGGTACTACTGCTTAATATTTTGCTTGAGACATTCAGTAAACATTTGCTAAATTCTCAGACATATTTCAACATTATCTTAAGGACTCTATGCTACTACAAATATAAAATAACATGCTGCAAACATGGAATTTTAAAGACATGCTTAAAATTTATGCATGTCAGTACTCAGGTCTGAAAAGCCTTAATTTCTGCCTCATTTTTCAATCTACTTTCCCTCTGAATATACAGCAATAACAATATCACATGCTCTGGCTCAAAGTCATTGTAACTGATATGAATACAGCCTACCCCCATAAAGAGGAGCCTTAAAGGCCCCATACCTGGATGACCTTGCTCTGGTGCTTTATGCTCGCTTTTCCAAGCGTCAAACTGGATAAGGGAACTGGTCTGACTTTTCTTTTGGTGATGCTATTTTTAAGCCAGATAGATGCCTGGATCTACCCCATGAAAATTGTTATTTGCTTCAAAACCTAGCCCACAGAAGCTTACAGATTATGAAAAAAGAAAATACAACCTGTTCCAGCAGCAAGCTCCAGCTACTTGAAGTGAGGGAAAACTGTGAGCTTAAGCATTATTTTATTCCAAGGAGTAAAAACACCACTTTATTTTGAACTCCATGGTTTTATCTGAAAGAATCAAAACAGCTTATTTCTGCTGTTGATCCAACATGAATTTAAATAAACATAACCAAGGCTTAATATGTATTGGGTCACTGGTCCATACACTAAATGTCCAAGCAAAAGCAAAGTTTGGCTGCAGAAAACTCCAGGCACCCAGTTAGCAAACTGACAAATAAAATTTTCTTTGGAAATCATATTAGTTTTTATCCAAATTTCTCTTCAGAGCTTTACTGCATCTATTATGCTTAATTTTATGCATCATACAGAACATTTGCTCTTGCAGAAAAGCCATAATTACTGGGAAGTAACAAATATCCTAATTAAAAGCCAGAACATTCTAAAGTATTAGCTCAATTTGCACTTCTTCAGGCATTCATTTAAGAAATTTATCTCAACACATAACAAGGAAACATCTTCTGTTTTCCCCAACATTTGCAAATGATAATGAAGTGAATCAAGTGTGAAAATCTTAGCGACACCACCAATTGCTCTAGACTGATTTATTTCATATTTATGCACATCTCGGACAATCTGACTGTAGCTTTAAACTGAGAATGGGCATATCTCCAGTGAGGAAAGGCTAGAGTTGGAATTGTTCAGCCTGAAGGATTCCAGAGAGACCTTAGAGCATCCAACCAGGACCTACAGGGCATCTGCAAGACAGCTGGAGAGGGACTTTTCATATGGGCATGCAGGTTGGATGAGGCAACCTGGTCTATTGGAAGGTGTCCCTGTCCATGGTGGTGGGGGTTGGGAACTAGATGATCCTTAAGGTCCCTTCCAAAACATTCTGATTCTGTGAACAAGACACAGAAAGTAGATGTTGAATACCCCAGGGAAGGCACTGTTTGTTACGGAGTGAACAAGATTCACTAGGTTTCCAATTTCTATTTGAAGTTTCAAGGCCTTATCTACACTAAATCTCTCTGTGATTAGCAAGTATTTAAAAAAACTTTCATGAAAGCACATCTCTCAGAAAAACAAATGAAGGCAGATTTTTTTATGCTACATGTTTACCAATCCTCTTGGCAATCATGCCTACTAGTTACTGTGATCTTGTATCATGTTACAATTCTCTCATAAAAAAGACACACGCACTTCCATCGCACTGAAAGTCACAAATCTTCTAATAGCAGATTATATTTAACCTTAATTTTAGGCATAGCTGCTTATCTCTGGTTTACCTGCACATGTACACTGACCTGCTTTGCTATTAGAAATAAAGGGGAAAAAAGTCCACAGCTGAAACCAAGAATCTAGCTTTCCATCCTTTCAACTTCACAACTAAAGTAGTAAACAAGAAGAGGAAAGACTGATGCTGGTACCTTGTTGCTCCACATTTCACCCCATCCTCCTGTGCCATACTATTGCAGAAGAATTGCAGAGAGAACACAGCCCCTGTTTTGGGTGTTTAAATCAGCTGAAGAGAAAAAATTATCTTGGCCTATTTTCCTGCTGTTCCCTAACACAGAATTGCATATACACAACAAACACGTAATTCTTCCATGGATGATATTTCCAAGCCCTTTCTAAAATGGATTAAATAGACTCAACACTTATATACAAACCACACTCGGGCACAGAAAACAGAGGGGAATATTTTAATTGAAACAAGGTAAGCAAAAATTAAATTGAGGACCAAACAGTAATTTTGCAGGGTACTTCTTTGAAGGGAAAATACTATTTGATTGGGTGTGCTGTTGTTGTCAATCTATGCTACAAACATATTACAAATAGCCTAAAATATCTGGGAAAGGCCTCAAAAGTTTCAGATTTATTATGCAAATGAGAATGTGATGATAATGCTTTCTCACTAACACGTTTCAATGACTTAATATAATTACTAAAAATGCTTTTCTGCAAGTACTGTATTTATAGAGGGCCACCTAAAGCCCTGCTTGTTGTAACAATACCACCACGTGTCACAAAGCAGTAGTCCTTTAGATGAAGGTTTTTGTTACAGACAATTGACATTTTTAAGTCAATCAACTTTGAAAGCATTCCTTAAAGAACATCTTCAGAGTGACACTCCTCTGTATTTTCTCCCTCTATTCACAGCAAAAACTTGAGTGAAGAAAATCTAGACTTTTGATTGAGCAAATTCAGCGTTCACAATCCATTCCCATTTTGGGTTCATCTTTCATGTACTGCATCTATCAACAGAGACAAGCCAAAATGCCCTGAAAATCTGGTGTTCCTACCAAATGTCTCCATGAATTCCTTGAAGTTCCTTGAAGCACAGGCTAATCTCTATTTCTGGTCCCATATCCCATGTTCATTTTACTGAAATGAACTAAATTTTAAATGAAACGGATTTTAAATGAAACTAAATTTTACTGTCTTACCTCAGAAACATTTCCTTTCAGAATTCGGTATAATGTGAATTAACTTGTATGGCTTCCAGTGAAACCCATGTAATCACTATAGTGTCATAAAACAATACAAGGCCTAACACAGGGCACAAGCCCACAGTGACACTGAAATAGTTAAAATTTTGCAACGTTAGGACACTGAACTCTCTGAAAATATCAAAAAATGGCAATGATATGGCCCAAATTCACTAGAAGTAAAGTGCAGAAGATAAAGCAGTACCTCATTACTCTGTTTATACAAAAGAAATGTTCTTTGTCAAGTGCGAATCTTGTGTAACATTCGGTCAGTAATTAGTTAAGTTATATTCTGTGTATATCTAATACCACGTTTTTTCAGAGATAAGTTTAAATGCCAGATACAGGATTTTTGGAAATTAAACATTCAATGCCTACAATCTCTGCAGAAGTAATCTCCAACAATCCATTGTTGAATCCCAGAATAATACTCCAATTCCCAGATTCTGAGAATATCCACAAAAAATGCAAAATGTTTTACAGAACGAACAGTTAAAAATATATATTCTGTGTGGGCATGTGAGACAAAAAGCTCCAGCAATATCACACAAAATCTCACAACTTTATTCCAAGTCAAATCAACTTTTCCCAACTGAGATAAAGGAGCGTCTATTTTAGCTAAAGAAGCCAACGTTTACTGCTAAAGGTACGTTTTGCTTGCAGTCAAAAATATGTTTGCTACAGTAGTTTAATCTTCAATTTATTTCAAGCGAGTAACTTTCTTTGAATTTTTGTTTGCAAAGTAATCTGTCTTCCATCAATGAGAATCTGTGCAAATTATTAAAATACAAAGGTTTCAAAGCAACGCTGTTCCTAACTTCCTTCGTTTATATTTGACTTCAGGCTTATTTAATACGCTCTCATGTAGATAAAAGTAGCACAGTTCTGTTTTCATGCTGGGTGGCCAAAAGGTTAACTGTCAGGTTCCCAGTGTGGGAAAATCCCAAAGTAGGCAAAATTGTTTTGATGCTTACTGAAGTTGTACTTCTAGCAGACTATGTAGATGTAGTACAGCCAACAATTCTGTTAGTTGATCCTGCTTCACTGAGATAAGGACAGTATTATATGAAAGTATTTACAAGCATAGGAAGCTGGAAGGGGTTTAAAATGCTGTAAAAAGGGCCACGTTCTGATATAATTCTGTTACAGGAAACCCTTTGGGTTAACAATGTAACTAATAGATCAGTCCTTCTTGCATTTGTTCCACAGGGCACCTACTTCACCTATAGCAGCTCCAGAAGCCTGGTGGGTATGTACATCCAGCTCCACGTGTTCATACGCTTCACCGCATGCAACACCAAAACACACTAGTAGCTGGATCTGTCCATCCCAAACATGCACCATCTCTTTTAACACTGTGAGGAACACAGAATTAATGACAAAAGGTAAACCTTCCCCACCCACCAGCATGGCTCTCACTACAGCTGGCAAGCAGTATCCTTCTCAGGATTATGCTGGTAAGGAACTTCAGATGTGATCAGCCAAAGAGCAAACCGTTACTTTTAAAACCAAATTACTTTTGGCAATTGCCCTATGGCATTAAATGCACAATACTTATGAAGCAGCAATTACTTCAAGTGGCTTTTGGAAAAGTGATGCTTATGCATCTTTTCGAACAGCATCCTCTTTGAGCAGGCAAGAGAGCCTCCTCCCTCGGGGAGCTTCCCTTACATTTTGGAGGTAAAGTCTTGCTCTTCATTTCACAGAGATGGAAATACATGATGTAATGCATGTAGAAATGTGCTGCTATGAAAACACTTGACCCTTTGAGCATTTTCACAAAGTGATAGTTTGAAAGTACTACTGAGATACTAGGGAAAAACCCTTTGGAAACACCTGAGGTATACAGCTTCCTTATCCTGAAAATTAATGTGCCTTCAAGAAATGTGATGAAGCACACAGTCTGTGCCTGTCTTTCCCTGCCTCTCTTTAGATTCTTGAATAATCTCTGAAGGAGGTGATTCACAGAGAATATCTCCCCCAAAAATTAGAGACCTGGAGTTCACTACCTTTATATAATGACAACATGATTACATAAAAGATCTCTTAGGAGTACAGAGATGCATCACTGGTATTTCCAAGACCATTTTAGAAAGTTTTACTAATGACACAACTTTTGGAAGTAAGGAATTAGAAGACAAATATTAACTCCTCTGAGGAACTCTGTCACTCTGTTAAAATAACAGTTCCTTCTAACAGATTCTTTCTCTGCATAACCATCTCCTAAACTTTAAAGGATGTACCTGCTAGCAGAGCTCTCCCAGTCTTCACCAAAACCTTCAGACACAAAACTAGCAGCTCTGAGTGCAGATTTTTACTTTGGTTCTGAAATGTTCTGTGGCAGCATCCCTGGAATTAAAATTGCCAGTTTATTACAGCGTCCAAGATTTCACTCCAGGCAATCATACATAAAGGCCTTGGGTCCAGAGTTATTCTCAGAAAGCATCTGGGAAAAGGTAATCCTGTAGGGAGCTTAGCTTCATGCTGCTTCTGCAATAAATCTTACTTTCCACCAGAACACCTCAAGAGTTTTCCTTGGTCAAGCAAGTATACTTTTGCACTGATCCCATGACCTTTCTCTGATCAAATAGTCTCCCCCAGCACAGACAGCATGTTGGTGATACATTTCAGAGCTTACCTCACTTTTGGCAAGTGGCACTTCCTTACTCATCTGTACATAAACTCACAAATCTGTTGCACTTCAGGTTTCTTACTGCAACCATTTCATAGAACATGGAGACAGATATGCAGACCATTTTGACACACTGTTTCTCTACAAGTCTCAAATACATTTTTTGTCCAGTTAGTCTCAAATGATGTGCCTCATTTCTGAACTGGTCAAAAAGGTGTCCCACCAACATCTGTGTAATCATCACTATAAGTCCTGGAATCTAAAACCCCTTTTAAAATGTTCTGGTTCATAAATGCTAGAAGACAGTAGGACAAAGCAACCAACTATCAAGATATATATGATAACTTTATACACTTAAATATTCTGTCACTACTTTCAAGCATTATTTCAACTCAGTGATAGAATCTGAAGTCAGCTGTAGGGATACTAACTGGGACTAACACAACTCTAAAAATACTTTCACAGGCCTTATGAACATCATCTGGAAACAGGTGGCCTGCCAGAAGAGAAAGTTGTTCTAGGAGAGTTAAAATGTAAACTAGGTTAACCCATTTATTTTAATGTTTGAGAGCATAAGAAAACTATTCTGTTGTCCACTGGAGCTGCCTGTATCAAACAAGAAGGCCACTTATTACACTTTTACACAAATTCCTCAGAAGAAGTAAAATAGACATATGGGAATTCAATACCTGTACTGATTTTGGTAGGGATAGTTAACCTCCTTTACAGCAGTCGCTATGGTGCTATGTTTTCGACCTGTGACCAAAAGTGTTGATAACACAGGGATGTTTCAGATGTTGCTCAGCAGTGCTGGCAGACTGTCATGGCTCATCCTGCTTCTCACATTGTCCCACCACTAAGTCATCTGGAGGTGCACAAGAAGCTGCGAGGGACACAGCTGGGACAGCTGACCCCAACTTACAAAAGGGAGATTCCATACCACACAATAATTGTGCTTGCTAATCAAAGCTGGGGAAGACAGAGGAAATGGACACATACATTCAGTGCATTTGTCTTCCCAAGTCTCCATTACTTGTACTGGAACTGGTTTGCCTGGGATGCCTGAACACCTGCCAGCCCACAGGAAGGAGTAAATCAATTCCCTGTTTTACTTTGCTTGCATGGCTTATTTTCCTTTGCTTGTGTGGCCTTTACTCTGCTTGTTAAACTGTCTCAATCCACAAGTTTTCTCACTTTTACACTTTCAAGACTCTTTCCCATCCCACTGCTAGAAAACGAGGGAGTGGCTGTGTGGTATGGTGTGGTGCCTGCTGGCCAAAGTTAACCACAATGCTAGAGGTGAGATATTCATAACTACCCTGAATATCTGAATACTTTACACTGTGATACTATTTTCAGTTATAAACTCACTATGTGTTAACATTTAAAAATAAAATTATCCATTGTCAATTAATGTTTCAGAATGGGCTTTTCAAAAAAATTAACACAAAGTCTATGGGAGAAGATAGATTTCCCCCACCAGAACATTTAGAAAAATTTTAAGACACTCTGTCAAGTCTATGTTTATACAAATCCATTTACTACAGCTGTCTATGTCTTAAAGGATTTCAGGTTTTGCAAGGGCTGGTCCCTTTACTGTCAGTACTGGGGCCTTTTTTAGTGGTTACTCTGTCCCCTAGGGGTGATGCAAGAAACATTCGGTGTAATTGCTTCTACCAGCTGCTGTAGATCTCTATAGCAAGACACTGACACCAGAGACACAACTTCCTGCTTCCAATGATCTAAGTAAATAGCATTTGGGGAAAGCATACTGCTAGAGGAATGATAAAGGATGAAACGCGCAAATGAAAATATTAGGATGAAGAAGAAGAGTGTGGCTTGGATGGAGGGAGGAAAAAGAAAAGCCATCATATCATTTGCTTTGGTGGAATGAAAAGCAGGGAACTGCGGAAATGGGAAAGTGGGGTAAGTATAAACCTAAAAAAAACTCAGAAAACGGTGCCAGGAATAAATGCATCAGGAATAAAGAAACTACCAAAAGCAGCTGGAGAGTATTCCAAGATACTTGAGTCTCATCATTCTTTGTGGTCATTACCTGATAAAACTGTAAAAATATCCTAGCAAAACATGCATCACAGTTCCATCAAACATACAGAAGCTGCAGGTTATCGTTCTCCAATGATTACTCTAAACACACTCTGCAGTAGATCCAAGAGTTCCAACCTTAATCCTAGTAAGACCAACACCTTTATGACCTTTCATGAAAGAATTTTCTACTTTCCAAGTTATCAGGCTTTTTATACTGTTACACACAATTAATTAAAGTTGAAAGTTCAGCACTAAAAATCAGGAATTCAAGAAGGTACTTCCACTCAGGCAACACTAATTCAGCCTTCTAACAAAGGCTGTTACAATACAATACCATCGCAGAATACCATGAATACCATGGTTCAATGCAATTTGAACACAATATTTGCATCTCTTTTTCCATTTCTGGAGATCTTTTAGAAATCTGTAGTGAAAGAGTTGGCGCTCATCACAGGTCTAGAGGGCAATTATAAATGGATTACAGATAGAACTCATGGTCAAACTACTCATGGTAGTTCCCTGTCTAGATTTGCATTTAAACTATGGTCTTTTCTCACAAGCCATTCTGCAGAATAAAAGTCAATAATAAAAAAAGCACAGGAACCCACTACCTCAGACCAAAAATTCCACAGCTCTTTGATCCTTATTTTTAGGGGGCTTCAATTGAAAGGTTATTTTTTCAGGAATCCTGAGCACACAGACATGCAATTGGAATTAAATAGAGGAATCGTTCAAAAATAAAAACCTGCAACATAAACCTAATATTCTCAGATGTCAGTCCAGATTTAGTCCACACAATCTGAGTGGACACATTTCAAGTTAATCTTTCAAGTTTTCTGCTATGCAAATAGAAAACCAAATTAATTAGAGCCCTTTTCCATACAGAAGCAAGGTACTTCAGTGTCTGTTTTCAAAAAATAAGTATACATAGGTATTACATTTTATAATTTATAGTGATGTGTGCGAAGATTTGTAATCATACATCCAAGTAAATTCATTGACTTCTCAAAGGTACAGCAACAATACTTCCCTTTAAAGAAAACTGACCATTAAGACTGGCTATGTAAAACAATGTAAAGTTCTGTCAAATCAAAACACTATGAAAAACTGAAACAGCTTCAGTCCTCTGTGCTACAGTAACACACTCCAGACACAAGACTACGAATAACCAAAAATAGCAGATTCAAATTCTCTTCATAAAGGATGCCACCAACAGAATGTGCCTTTCAGCTAACGATGCAGGGCAAAAGGGCAAACAACGTTCATACTTAGGCACAAGGCCTCCACTGCAAAAATGTAGATCCTGTTCTCAAAGACACTATAAAATAAACTTGGTATAGACAAAGCAGGCCATTTACACCACTGACTTCCAGTCTTAGCAGATGCCACTCGGACAAACTGCCTAACCACAGCTCTTGACAATTTGAAATGAAAATAACCCCAACCCTATGATTACCATACGTTACATAGACTGCTGTGCAGGAGTTCATCCTTATCACAGGAAGCTTCACTTTCCAGGTTAACGTCAACTATTTCCCGTTACCCCCTGGTTACTCAACCGGAGTTTTCGCTGAATTAGTCCAACTGAACCATTACTTGTCACAATGCTGACACTTCTTACGAAGTTCAGTGTAAACCTTTCACTCTACTGGAAATTTCTTACATAAGAAAGGTAATTGTCCCAAGTATAAAATGAAACTCAGGATATACGCTGCCAGGAGCTGTTCCGGTTGCAAACCAGCGTTTTCTATTAGAGAAAGATTGGACTGGGACAGCCCCAGAGGCGAAACGCAGGGTTCGCGCTGCGAGGCGCGGCCAAGGCGCGCCAGTGCCCGCGGCCGCGCTCCGGTGACAGCCCGTCTCTCCCGATGGGTGACAGCTCCTCAG